TAAGGTGGCCCCTCCAGATATAGGCATGGGCTCAAATTTCAGCCTACCCTGAGCAACGGTGGGCAAATCCCTTCTCCACTCTGCTTCCTCACTCTCACACCTGCTAACTGAGGACTGCTTGGTTCCACCCACCTCGGTTCCACCCACTGCATTGGGTGGCTGTGTTAATGAGGTGATCCAACTGAGGAATTCAGGACAGAGCAAGAAAAATTAGGTTGTGTTAAAGAAACAAAAGACAGGAGTAGCATTAGAAGGCCACAAAAAAGAGAGCAGCCAATCATGTTGGTGTACACTTGTAATTCCAGCTACTTGGGAGGCTGATGCAGGAGGATGGAAAAGTTCCTGGCTAGGCTGGGCAATTTAGCAAGATTCTATCTCAAATTAGAAAATAAATAACTAAAAAGAGCTGTGGGTATAGCTTAGTAGTAGAGCATCCCTGGGTTTTTGTTTTTTTTTAAAAGAAGCTGGGCACGGTAGGGCACAGACGTAATTTCAGCACTCTGGGAAGCTGAGGCAGGAGGCTCATCATGAGTTTGAGGCCAGCCTGGGCAACTTAGTGATTTAGTGAGACCCTGTCTCAAAAAAAAAAAAAAAAAAAAACCTACCCAAAAAGTAGGAATCAAATGCACTGAAGAGATGGTGCTTGACAATGCCGGCTCTCCAGCTCTCCCCTGGCATTACTCAAGACTACCAGTACCCTGCCTCAAACCAGGGCTCGTGCATTTCAAGCCTCCCAGTGGAAATCTCAGAGTCCTCGATTGCTCTTATTTGGAAGGAGCCCCACTGAGGTGCCAATCATGCCATTAAGGGAGGCAATTGCTGCTTCACTCCGACACTTGTTACCCTGAGACCTCCAGAAAACGGCTCCTATTCTCTGTCCTTAGCCGCCTCCTCCACGCAATGGGGCTCCTGATGGTCGGGAGGATGGATGCGGGCTGGCAGATAGGAGACTTTCAGAGAGGCGCCTGGTACACAGGAAGTGTCTAGGAAATGGCCCCTGAGTGTTTACAGTCCCGGGATTGTGCCTGCTTCAGGGACTGACTTGGTGACCTTCGTTCACAATACCCTTGTTATCTGGGTGCTGGGAAATACTGGCTAAGGTTGTTTCTCTTCTCAGTTGATCTGTCATTGATGGTTCTATAGCCTTGACCATTGATGTAAAGAGGATTTTGTTCTTTCCAAGGCTACTACTGTTTTATTTGTTATTAATGGGCATGTTTTTATTGCTCTTTTTTACCTGCCGCACATTGTCCTCTCAGATTATAATAATAACACCTTTAGTTAATAATACCTTGTTCTTGGGGAGTTGCTTCATGCCAGCAGCTCAAAGGTCCCTGCAAACATGACCTCTTTCGTTCTCCCTGCTCCCAGGCTGGGGGCACTCCTACGCCTTGCACTCATTGATCTTCAACCAGATTCTCAGGGGCCAGAGTACTGCTGAAGTATGTCCACCTCTCAGGATGCAGATCACTGGCAGAGCTTGCAGCCCTCCCTCCCTTCACCTGAGGCAACCTTATGCCCACAGAGGATAACCAGAACCCCAGTTCTGCTAGCTTGGAGCCATGCTTCCTGTGCCAGGCCCAGGCGCCCACAGCTGTGTCCTGCAAATAGTAAACTTTAAATAAACCTTGGGCATAAACCACCTTGATGCCTAGGAAATAGCAAGTTTGGCAAATTGGAGCCCTTGCCTTACCTGAGCACTTAATGAAGACCTTGTGGGGCCATCGGGTGTATTCTTCATTAGCTGGAACTGTCTCTATCCAGGCTTAGCCCCTACTACTCAGTGCCCTGGCATGTTTGACACCTGTATGTACTTGTGAAAGCCTGCAGCCCCATGGTGGCAGTACTTCCTTGTTCTGGGGCTGCTTGAGGCTGGAGCTACCTGGCAGTATAAGCTACTGGCTGGTTGCATTAGTTTTCACCTTGCAATTAAGGGCTGGAACGGAACAGTTGGCCCTCCAACCTGGAGTTCCACATCCCAATTAACCTTGGATTGAAAATATTCAAGAAAAAAATGTGTCTGGACTGAACAGACTTTTAAAATTGTCATTACTTCCTGAGCAATACAGTGTAACTACTGTTTACAGTAGCATTTATATTGTTTTAAGTATTATAAGTTGCCTTCGGATGGATGGGTAGGTTCTGTGCAAATACTGCACCCTTTTACATAAGGGCTTTGACCGTCCACAGAGTTTGTGGGCATCTTTGTGGGTTTGTGGAACAAATTTCCCATGGATACTGAGGAACAACTATAACTGAATCTCCAGCCACACTCGGTCTCAGCCCATGAACACTTCATGGTGTCTAAAGGGCAATTGCAGAACTCCTACCTCTTCAAAACAAACAAACAAACCAAATGACAAACTAAATGGGATTAGCTCATTTCAGTGCCCAGGGCTGTTTTTCTTCTCTGTTCTTTTCAAAGTACTGATAATTGAACCCAGGGCTCTGCACTGAGCTACATCCCCAGCCCTTTTTATTTTATTCCTAGACAAGATCTCACTAAATCGATAAATTACTCAGGCTAGGTTCCAACCTGGATCCTCCTGCTTCAGACCCCCAGAGTATTAGGATTACAGGTGTGTGCGTGCCACTGTGCCCAGTTTGCTGGGGGCAACCACTCTACCGCTGAGCTAAACTTCCAGCTGTGTTTTGCATCAGTATATAAACACTGGTTATGCCTGGTGTGGTGGCAACATGGCTGGAGATTTTTCCAGGGTTCTTCTCTCTGCCATAACAAAATTCTCCAATGCTCAAGTCTCTAATATAAAATGGTGTAATATTTCCCTATAACTTACGCATATTGCTGGGTATGGTGGCAAACACCTGTAATTCCAGCACTAAGGATGCTGAGGCAGGAGGATCACAGTGAGTTCAAGGCCAGCCTGCACTACACAGTGAGACCCTGTCTCAAAAAACAAACAACAACAAAACTTATGCAATCCTCCCATGTACTTTAAATAATCTCTAGACTACTTATAATACCTAATACAATATAAATACCATTCATACTATATTGTTCAGGGAATAACGACTAGAAAAAAAGGTCTGGCTGGGCATGGGGGCACAGGCCTCTGATCCCAGCACTTGGGAGGCTGAGGCAAGAGGATTGCATTGAATTTGAGGCCAGCCTGGGCTACATAGCAAGACTCAGTCTCAAAAAACCAAAACCAAAACAAAACAAAAGTCTGCACGCTCAGAACAAATGCAAGGTTTTCGGTTTGGTTTGATGCTAGGGAACAAATGCAGGGCCTTACCCATGATAAATACAATAAATACAACCAGCTACTGAGCTACCCTCGATCTACAATTTTTAAAAAATAAAAAAAAAACAACCCTGCAATTGGAAAAAGAACTGTAATTAATTGAATGCACCAGAAACAGAGGTCAAACTGTACCTACCTTCCTAACTCTTCTTCCTTAAATTTGTTTAAATATGTAGTCCTTTCTCCACCCTTCCAGTTCCCTAAAGGCCAAACACAATCCGGAAGGCCAGATCCTAATCTAGAAGGTGGAAACTCAGCACACATAAACAAATTTGGGTTTTGAAGGACTAGAGCTGCTGGGCAAGGTGGTGTGTGCCCAGAGTCCCAACTTCTAGAAGTTGAGGCAGTGGGATTCCTGGGACCAGGAGTTCAAGGCCGGCCTGAGTAATATAGCAAGACCCCGCCTCTAAAATTAAGTAAGTAAACAAATAAAGGGCTAGGGTTGAAAAATCACTTTTGGGCCAGGAATTTATCTCAGTGGTTCCGCTGCCTGCCTCGCAAGCACAAGGTCTGGAGTTCGATCCCTGGTACCACAAAAGAAGAAAACTTTGGAAACAATTACTTTTTTTTCCTTTGGAGACAGAGTCTCAAGATATAGCCCAGGCTGGTCTCCAACCTGAGGTAATCCTCCTGTCTCAGCCTCCTGAATGCTGGGATTATAGGCCTGTGCCACCACACCCAGCAAATTAAAGCTTCGGTTAGGTCAACTAATTTAAAAGAAAAAAAATTCACCTTAGGTATTAGTCACTTGAGAAAGTGACTTTTCTTCTTGCCGTTATACTTATTGTATATAAATATTGGTTTACATTCTCCAGAGCAAGAGCTTCCTCTGACCTTGCTCTTGCTCTGAGTGGGTAGTGATTAAAAGGGAACAGGAAGAGGATGGGAAATGTTCAGGTTTTTTGTTTTTACGGCGCTGGGATTGAATCCAGGCCCTTTACACAGAGCTACATCCCCAGCCCTTTTTTAATTTAAAATTTTGAGACCAAAAATTAAGTCTTCTCTACTTGCAGGGTCTTGGTAAGTCTCTAAATTTCCCAAGCTGGGCTGAAACTTGGGCTCTTCCTGCCACGGCCTCCTGGGGTGATGGGATTACTGCTGTTCATTTTGTGAAGTCTTGCAAGGTGTACCCGCAGAGACACTGCTTTCGTATCTGTGCATAATACTTCTTTTAACCTCTTCCTTTTTTTTGCGCTGGTGATTGAACCCAGACCTCCTGCTGTACACTATAGCTCACGAATTTAAAAAAAAAAAAAAAAGATAGGACTGCTTGAAAGTTATTTTTAAAATTAAATACTTTTGAGACTAGAGCAGCGGCAAAGGTTCTGTGTTTTCTATTTTGATCATTCTGTTTCTCGAGATGACCACATCTTTCAGAGGAAATGAGTCAAAGCCACTCTGTCTTGCTTTTCCAGCTGAGCATGTTAAGTTTCAATGAAGTAATGAATGAATTCCGCTGCACCACCCCCCAAGTCTACAACAGCAAACAGAGAGGCCTCGACCAATCAGCAGGCAGCCTAGGTTTTCAAGTTGAGTTCAAACAGACCCACAAGAGGCCAATCAGAGCGCGCGTCCCCGCCCCCAAGACCCGGCCTTGGCCAATCATGAGCCTGAATGAGCCAAAACACAGCGGCCGGCCAATGAGGGAGAGCCCCACCGCGCTGAGCTCCGCCAATGGGCACGGCCCGGCGAAAAGAGAAACAGTGCGGCCCCGGGGCCGGCCGCAGGATTCTAATCGAACGTCGGTGCGGGAGCCAGGCGCTAGCGGGGAGGCACAAGGGCCAATCAGCGGCGGCGGCACGCGGCCCCGGAACGTTGGGACACCCCGGCCCCGCCCCGCGCTGTTGTTTGTGGTGTCGGCCGGACGGGCGGCGGGATCAGAACCACAACATTCGCCGGGCGGCGGAGGCCGAGCCCCGGATCCCCGCGGCCGGTGCTGCGGGGGCCTCGCATCGCGCCATGTCGGTGAACACGGACGAGCTGCGGCACCAGGTCATGATCAACCAGTTCGTGCTGGCCGCGGGTTGCGCGGCCGACCAGGCGAAGCAGCTGCTGCAGGCGGCGCACTGGCAGTTCGAGGTGCGCCCGGCCCTCAGATCTAGGGAACCCGGGGGGCCTGGGTGGGGGGTTCTGTCTGTGTCGGCCTGGGTAGCAGAGGCCGGCGGGGGGCTTCTTGCTCCCCTAGTCTGGCTACGCTGACGCCGCTCCTCCCGCGTTTGTCCGCAGACCGCCCTGAGCACGTTTTTCCAAGAAACCAACATTCCCAACAGTCACCACCACCCCCAGATGGTAAGTGTAGCCGAGAGAGCGCGTACGGGCCCCTGGGTCCCTCACCCTTCGACAGGCAGCGGGGAGCTGGCCTCCCCCGGCGGCTGGACCCCCCGGAGCATAGCCCACCGAGAGACCGGAGGGACAAGGGCTGGGCCGGGCCGCTGTCACCCGCGGCAGTGACAGCCATGTTGCCGGGGAGCGCTGCGCCGCGAATGTAAACAAAGAGCCAAAATGTCTTCCAGGAAAGAGCGCTCCCGGGCCGGCGCCGGCTCGTCCAACTTCGGGACCCGCCTCCAGGCGCCTAGGTCTGGGCCGGAGGCCTTGGGCTTCCCGGAGCTTCGCTTTGGGGGTCGAGGGTCGGGGCGCTAGAGTTGGGGGGTAAGAAGAGGGAGAAATGGCCTCGGAACAGGGGACGAGAAGGGAAGGGGGCTTGGATTGGATGGTAACCACACTTCTGGGGAGCCCAAATGAAGACCCTAGGAGAAGAGATTGAGACTTGGGCTATTCGTGTGTTAATGGGGAGCCCCCCCTTGCTGTGAGTGCGGCCCCTCCCCCTCCACACAGGCACCCTGCGCTGCAGGAAGCGGGCAAGGGATAAATCCACCCTGGCTCAGGAAACCGGCTCTGCCCACAAATGTATGCTGGCCCTTTTGAAGCCCAAGGGAACAGACCCTGTGCTGGGAGGACACACAGATTTTGACTCAAGATAAGGCCAAGAATTTGCATTTAATCTCTGTGTTAAGAGATGCACAATCCTGGGAACTGAAGTGGCTCAGGGCTAGATTTGTTTTCTTCTCTTTCCAACCTGACCCCAGGCTGGAGCTTTTGCCCTCCAGGCCAGGGGGTACCCTTGGCTTCCTTGAGGCCCCGGAGGTGGCTTCTCCACCCCACCCCCCTGGTTACCTATTAGCCTCAGTGGGGTGGGAGGGGCTGAGATCTGTGGGGATTGTAAAATATTATTCCTCGGGATTGCTGTGGCTTCCTGGGTGCATTTTTGGCATTTTTAACACTTGGGTGTCTTTGCCCTGGCTGCACTTGGGCTCCTGTGCTGTATCTTGTCCTTGGCTCCCTGTTTTTATCTAGCCACTTTTTAAACTAGCTTTTCTTTTAGGAGGGCTCTTGCCCCATATGAATCCCACAAGAATGTCCTTTGGCTTTTAAAGGCATAATGGTGCTGGCTGCAGGGTGGAGGTAGCTGAGGCCTGGCTCCTAGCAAGCCTAGGAGGAGTTCATCTCCAGAGGACCCCACCCCAGCATCCAGCTGTGGAATTTTCTGGCTCCCTGAACCTGGGAGCTCTGCCTCCATCCCTTCCTCAAAACAGCCTTGAGGTATCTCCCTGCTGGCTTCGGCCCTTCTGAAAAGCCAGGGCCTCCAGCACAGCCCCTCATAGGGGCCAGGAACAGGGGCTCACAGGAAGAGCCAGGACTGTCGTTCTGTTTGGTTTCTTCTTTCTCTGCAAACCCCAGTGGGAGGATTGAAGCCCCTTTTGAAACCTCCCCTCAGGCAACGCAGCAGGTTTTGTAACAGACATAATCAGTGTAACCATCAGCAACTGGTACTGGGTGCTTCATCAGAATGGTGTCCCTGCTCCTAGAGTTGGGAGATTCTTGGGACAAAATAAAATTTTTGGTTTTGGTACTGGGGATCGAACTCAGGACTTTGCGCTTTTTGAGAAAGGCGGTGGAACCACTGAACTAAATCCCCGGCCCAGGCACAAAATAAAGGAAAAGGTTAAATAAAAACACTGGGCTTGGGTCACCGCAAAATGGTGATTCCAGAAGTGACCCGAGGCACAAGTAACTGATAAATGATTGTCCTGTAGACTGCTGTTCCTTCCCACAGTGGGAGGAAGCTGCCCAGGTGATTAGGAAGGGTCCAGAGTTGGATCTGCAGGGGCCAAGGGAGAAAGGCAACATGAGCAGGGTGCTGTGGAGAATCCTGTCCCAGGCCCTGGTTTTCCCAAAGTAGAGAGGCACTCCAGAGAGGCACAGGAGCTTGCCCAGGCTTCCCCAGGCAGGCGGGCCCAGGCCCTGTTGGCCAGCAGGCTGGGGGCACTGTCGAAGGAGGAGGCCACGCTGGCTTGGTGAACTGGGGAAGTGGGGCACGATGCTGTGAAGCAATTGGCCTTCACCCCCACCCCCATTCATTGTTTCCTGCTGCTGAGAAGTCAGCCCTGTCAGGGGCCAGGCAGTGGGAGGAGGAGGGAAATGTCTGGGTGGGGCCAGGCCTCTGCTGAGTCCTTTGGCCTCCTCTGAGGGCCCCTGGGAAGGACAATGGTCAGAGCTCCCTAGGAGCTGAGGGGCCCCTGGCCTTGGTGATTGAAATGGGATGGCCTCGAACTCTCCTTCGAGGTCAAGTCCTAGAGTCTTGCCCACCCCAACCCTGTGCCTGGGGGAAGGGGGAGGTTGCTAAAATTAGGAGAAATTCAAAGAAGGCCTCCCATGGCTTCCTGGGAGAGGAAGAAGCGGCTTTGTGGTGGGAACCAGCTTGTGTGCGTCTTGCTCTCTGGGCTGCCTGTTCCCTGCCCCTGGAGTGGGGCCCCCAGGGCAGAGAGGTAGAAGAGGCTCTGGGTTTTGGACTGAGAGCTTCGGCCCAGGCTGAGGGTAGGCCGTACCATGGGCTGGAGGCTCCAGACAGGAAGCCAAAATCCTGGGGCTGGGCCCAGAGCTGCCCGTGACTGTGCAGGCAGAGTGGGCCGTGGGAACAGATTAAGAGCTTGGGCCTACAGATGTAGGAGCCTGGGAATTCAATCTGCTTGCTTTCATTGTGCTCTGGGTGTGTTTTCAGTCATGACTTGGCCTCTGGGCGTCAGTTTCCTCGTCTGTAATATGGAAAAAGAGTACCTCAGGCAACTAGGCCTCCTTTTGAGAAGATGGTGGAGGCAAGAGCTTAGGGGCTGGTGGCCGTGATGACCCCAACACGGAGGAAGTCCAGCTTTTCCTTGGCTTCGCAGAAGGGAGAACCTCTGAACACTCTCTCTGGCCCATACCCTGGGGACGTCAGAGGGCACATGATGCCAGCTGGGTGCCTCAGCCAGAGGGGGGCACTGGCAGTGACATCCTGGGCTACTCCTTGTCTTTTTATTTTATTATTTATTTTATTTTGGGGGGGGTACCAGGGGTCGAACTTGGGGTGCTTGCGCAGCAGGCACTGGAAACCACTGAGCTAAATCCCGGCCCCTTGTCTTTTTATTTTAAAGTGACACCTTAGCTTCAGGTTGGAACTCACCATTCTGATGCTCCTTGGTATTGTTTCCTAGCCTCGTTCAACACTTTTGACTTTGGTGGAGTTTACCCTTTTTTTGGTTAGCTCTGAACAGAGGGGTGTGTCTGTCTTATTGAAGCCTCTGTGGGCTGAAAAATGGGAGTAAAGAGGCCCCAGGGCCCCGGCCAGCCCCCCACGCCTGTGTTCTCTGCCCGCAGATGTGTACGCCCAGCAACACACCTGCCACACCGCCCAACTTCCCCGACGCACTGGCCATGTTCTCCAAGCTTCGCACCTCCGAGGGCCTACAGAGCAGCAACAGCCCCATGACGGCCGTGGCCTGCTCCCCCCCTGCAAACTTCAGCCCCTTCTGGGCCTCCTCCCCACCCAGCCACCAGGCGCCCTGGATGCCGCCCTCCTCTCCCACCTCCTTCCATCGCCTGCACTGCCCACAGCCCACATGGCCGCCCGGAGCACAGCAGGGCGGCACCCAGCAGAAAGCCATGGCGGCGATGGACGGCCAGAGATGAGACTGGATGCCGTCGGGCCCTGTGCTGGAGTGAGGGGGCAGTCTGGGGTTGTGGGGACACAGGAGGGCCAGGGAGGGGGCCGCAGGGGGAGGGTGAGGGGTTTCCTGAAGATCGCACTGGAAGATTTTATAAAAGAATGGGGGGGGCAGTAAACTTCGTGGGCCGCTTGGGTCCCTCAGGAGTTTTTCTTTGGGCAAGTTCTTTTCCTCTTTTTAATATATAACTATGATATATATAAATATAACTAATGTATATGTGAGTGGGGCCGCACACCTGGGGTGCTGGGTAGAGGGGAAGGGCCAAAAGAGTCCCCTGAAGTCACCTGCGAACAGGAAGAGCCCCATTGTCCCTGCCTGGGGCTGCAGCCCTGAAGGGTTCCACGGGGCTCCCTGCCCCCAGCCTTCACTGCTGTGTCCAGGATTCTCCCCCCACTCCTTTTGCCACCCTCCATCGCTGGGTATGTCCCCTGGGTGGCCTTGTAGCTACTGTCACCCTGTCCCCAGCTGGCTGTGCACGGCTCTTAGAGAGACCTGGCTTGAGTCAGGCCAGACTCTGTGGTGGGGGGCCTCTTCCCTTGTCCAGGGTCAGAGGACATGGACCCGGTAGAGCTCACTTTCGGGTTGACTTCCTAAATCAGAATCTCATCTCACCAGGGTGAAATTTTAATTTAAAACCTTAAAAGAGACTTTTCTAACTTCCCTGGTTTGCAGTGCTTTTATTTACCTTGGTAGGGAAAGCTGAGTCTTTGAGAAAGGGTGAGTGGTGGTCTGGGTGTGCTGTGGTCAGGGGGAGGGGAGGGGACCCCATTGGCGATTTACTGAAGTGGATGTTTCTGGCCAGGGCTGTCTGTTCCAGGGAATTTGGTACTACAGGTGGAGCAGGGGCGGGTCCTGACTTGGTTGCCGTTACCCTCTTGCCTTTGTGACCCTTGTCCACGTAGCCTGTAACAGCAAAGTCCTCAGCACTCAGCCTGGTGAGGCATTTCCATCAGCCATGGAGCCAGCTGCCCATTCTGCCTGGCGGTCTCCCATCGGTCACTGCCCAGAGGCCCTCCTGGGCATCCTGCGGCCTGCCCATCTCCACCATTCCCTCCTCAGCTTCCCTCAGAGAGGTGTGCTGCTGGCTGCTGTGTGGCCGTGACTTGAAGGTTGGCCAAGGTGGGTGACTGGCCACCTTGGGACTGCTGGAGGCCCTCAGGATGCCACCACTCAGGGCAGCCCTTTACTCTCCTGCCAGCCTGCCTCCCGCTTCTGTGGTCTGAGAGGGATGAGGGCTGTTGGGACAGAACTGGGCTAGGGGCTTGGAGGAGAGGCCCGAGGTGAAGTGAAACTTGAGGGGCCCAGGGGGCAGGCCCCCAGCTTGCTTTGAGGCTTGGTCATCTCCTCCTGCCAGCAGAGCAGAACTGAGTCCTGGCTGCCCCGTCTCCCCCGTGTGACACATGGCTGTACTGGAAAGCTGGGTTCGTCCTTTCAGTTTTGTTTCCTGATTGGAAACCCCTGAGGCTCCTCCCAGCCTCACCCCTGCCCCTGCCCACCTGTGCTTTCCCAAGCTGGAAGGGGAAGCCCCTGGCAGGCCTGTTGGCGGTCAGGCTGTGACATCGCCAAGGGTGCAGGGACCCAGGTGCAGGCCAGTGCGGGCAGGCAGCCTGGGGTGGCTCCTGGTTCTCGGCATGGAGCAAGCCCTGGGGGAGAAGGGCTGGCCCGCCCTCCTGTCAAGCCAGTGAATTTGGCTTGTAGGCCAGGGAAACTGAGCCGACCTTCTGACATTTCACTGCCACAGTGGAGCCTGGGAGAAACAGGAGCTGAGGTGGCTGGGGTTGGCCTGGCTCTGCCGCCTGTGTACAGAGAAAAGGGCACTGGGCTGGGGGGACCGCTACCCAAGGGGCTCCTCCTCCAGTCCGGCTGCAAGCACAAGGTTACAGTATACAGCTAGGCATGGTGTCTGCAGATCGGGGTGCTCCCTCAGGGAAACCCAACTCCACACAACCCCCTAGCCAGGCCTACTTTCACCCACACCAAGCCAAGGGCGAGAAATCTATTTCTTGGCCGTTTCCTGTTTCCTGCCACTCTTTCCTGTATGATTCTGTTCCCCCTCTTCTCACACCCCAAGGTGAGCCTCCTGCTCCAGACACCCCTTTCCCATCGGAGAGGGAGTGCTGGGAGCTGGGGGTGGGGAAAGCCCCTACTTCCACTCTGGCCACCCAGTGGGAACAGACTGGAGGCAGAAACACTTTTGATGATTCAGGGCTTCCTGGGCTCAGGTGGGGACAGCTGTTTCTTGAGGTTCAGCTATGTGGCAGGGGTGCTGGGGGCTTTTCCTTTGCAGTCCGCTGCCCCAGCTTAGACTCAGCCCCACCTTATTCCTCTGTCACCTCAGCTGGCTGTTTGAGCACAAACTGACTTGGGACAGCATCGAATTCTGCCCTCAGGTTTGCAGCTAGTGTGCAGGTGAGCAGGACTAGAGCTGGACCTTGCACACGTGTCTACTACCCCTAGAAACCTGTACCCCATCTTCCTAGCCATTGGCATCTAGCCTGTGCCCTGAGCCTCTCTGCCAGGGCCTTAGGAGGTGGGGCCAGCACAGCGTGGCAAGAACCCTTCTCAGTGGCTACAGGTTTTGCCTTCCGGCTGGTGGCACTGCTTTGCAGGTTGGGGAGTAGGGGACAGCAGGCAGTTCTACCCTCATCTCCAAGGTAACAGTGGGTACATGACTGCATGGGTCTCAGCCTACCCAGAGTGCCCTGGGCCAGCACCCCCCCCATTAGAGGTCAGCTGCCCTCCCCACCCTGGGGTGCAATGCCCAGCTGTCCCGAAGCCTGACACCCTTAGAAAGCCACTTAAATCAGTTGAGCCTGTGGGAACGGAGATGTAACTTTCAGACTACAAACCAGACCTGCTCTCAGCAGAGCTGGGGGAGCCCCGGAGGCCTCCCACAGTCTTCCTGAGACAGGGCCAAAAAGGAACCTCTAGCCAGGTGTGGCCCTTGCCTGCACTCTGGGAGGCTGAGGCAGGAGGGTTAAAAGTTTGAACCCAGCCTGGGCGACTTAGTGACTTAGCAAGACCCTGCCTGGAAATTTAAAAAATTGTACATAAATAAAGGGCTGGGTATGTAGCTCAGTGCAAAGGCGCTTGGTTCAATCCCCACTACTGGAAAGACCAAAAAAAAAGCAAGCCCAACACCACCTCTTTCCCAGACTTTATTTAGACCTCTGTTCCTTGTGCTGTGGTGGATCTTGGGCCCCTGGTGGGCTCCTTGAGCCCCTCCCCGGGAGGCATATCCATGTTTACCTCCAGCCCTGGGAGGCTGCCCTGCAGGTTGGGGCTGGGTGGGTGGGCCATATCGGACTGGGCCAGACGGCCCACGGAGGAGACAGGTCTGCCTTGTCGGTACTGTGAAGAAACTGCAGGACAGGAGGTCCGGGTTACTCTCCCTCACTCCTGGTGCCCACAAGGACCTGAAGCCCAGGGAGGTGGGAGCAGCCTTCAGCCAGGCTGAGGGACGGGTATTCAGTGCAAGTGTGTGTATGAGCGCCTGAGGACACAGGCCTTCGTAGTCCTTGTGAGTGACGAGTGAGTAGACACGCCCTACTGCAGGGGCCGGGAGCCACTTTGGTGCTGTTGCGCTGACACATGGGGACTGTTTAGGCAACACTGACACACAGAGGCCCAGAGAGTTTTCCTAAGACTCCCATCCTCCTCTCTCCTGCTTCTATATCTGAGGTGCCCTTGGAGTAGACTTAGTGGGATGCCAGGAGATGAAGCGAGGTACCCCCAAGAAAATCACTGAAACTTCTCCCGCAGCCCGTTCTCCATGGTTACCAGCCCTGGCTGTGAGGCCCGACAGTTTGGCTTTGAATTCCAGCCAGCTCTACCACTTCCTAGCTGTGTGTCCTTGTGCAAGTACCTCAGCCTCTCTCAGCTTTGGTTTTCTCGGCTGTAACTAGGGCTCACAGTGGTTCATATCTCCTGACGCTGGCATGTGGATTAAAAGTGGTTTAACTATAAAGCTGTGGAACAGCACCCGGGCAGTAGAAGCCCTTGGTGAAGGCGAGGCACCATCGTCACCATGACGACGTGCCGGTTCCTCTTCTTCCCTCCTTAGCCACAGGCTCTCTCTGGACATGAGTGGAAGGATGTCACAGCACAGCCAGCTTGGCTCTTAACCAGGGGGCCCAGGGGTTCTGACCCTCCTGCATGCATCCACAAGGTGCCATGGATGCGTGACTTTTTTTTTTTTTTTTTTTAGTTCTGGGGAATCAAACTGACCTTGCACTTTCGAGGCAGGCAGCGGAACCACTGAGCTAAATCCCTGACAATGCGTGACTTTTTTGCAGGTCTGCACCTGTGTTTGATTCGCCCTGGTGCCCAGACTGAGAAGCACTAACCCTGTACCCTCCTGAGGACAGATAGGGACCCTGGGGTCTGCAGAGGGGAGAGACTTGCTTAGTCACTTGGTAGTGATCCAGCCTCCAGGCCCTTGTGTGGTCAGAGGCTCAGGGGAGACCAGAGACTCTGGGGACTTTCCAGGCCTGGGGTGGGGAGGGGGTCCTCCAGGACAGGGTCAGAATGAGGGGTCCCCAGGACCTGGCCAGGTCTCATGCCCACAGCATTCAGACCAAGTTCCTGAGCACTGGCTCCAGGAGAGTGGACACGTGTGAGCAGGGAAGGACTTGGGCCTGGAGCCCGAGACCTGGGTGCAACCTCATCCTAAGTCCTCTTGTGTGAAATGGGACAGCAGCAGTAGCCACCCCACAGATCTGACCCTCAGTAGCTGGATTTTCCCTCTTGCCCCTCAGTCCCATTTTGGCTCCAAAGGAATAAATCAGCATGGGCTGGAAAGGGGGCTGTGGGGCAGGAAGGAGACGCCTGGGCACAGTGCCCAGGCTGTGCAGAGGAGCCCTCCATCCAGGAGGAAGCTGCCTGAGTTGTTGCCAGCCAATATCTGAGCACTCTGAGGCCGAGAGAGCAGCTGGCTGGTGTCCCTGAGGGACTGCTTGGGCTTGTGTTTCGTCATCCCTGAGGCTGAGGAGGAGACCAGTGGGCAGAGTCAGTTGTGAGACACCCAACGGAGAACTCTGGGGACCCACTGGGATAGAGCAGACAGGGCTGCCAGTCTGAATTTGTACGTTTGCCTGTCTGAGCCCTTCATTCATTCACACATGTCTACCCCACATCACCGTCATCTGTTGTTCTTCCATCCACCGGCTCACTCAGGTATTCCCTGAGGACCTGGGTATGTGAGCTGTGAGCCAGGCGCTGGGCGAGCCTAGGACGGGAGGCAGTGGGGAAGCTGCGTGCAAGGTTGTGAGGCATGATGGGAAGTGCCGAGCAGCACGCAGCCTTCAGGAATGGATGGAGGGAGAGCTGGGAGTGGGCATTCAGGGCATGGGAGATCAGGGGGTGGGGGCTCAAGTGCGGCGTTTTGCTGAGCTTTGAAGAAGGGGAGGTAGAGGCTGTCTGGGATGATGCTGTGAATGGAGGCCAGGGAAAGTGGCAGCAGTGGCTTGAGGATGGAGGCTGGCAAGAAAAGATGGGGCTGCCACATGCCAGGTGATCAGCTGAGGCTGGACAGCCATCCTGTCCCGGAAAACACTGACCTGGGGGCCTCTGGAGACATGTGAACATTTTGGGGCAGGGAATAGGGAAGGGCATGACCTATGAAGAAGCAGATGTCCCTGGGAACCCACCAAAGGACTCTGGAGGGCCTCTGGGCTGTGTGAGTACTCACTGTCTTTGGTCAGGATGCCTGGCAGCCTCGTATCCATCCGTCCCTTGTAAATATGTCCATCCAGGCCCAGGAGATCCACCTCGGCATGCTGTGGAGGTGGGGTGCGACCATTACCTCGGCAGTGCCCAGAGCCTTTCCTCTGGTGCTGCCTCCAGGAAAGCAGGGTGCAGGGCGCTCTTGACTCCTACTCCCAGCACCCAATGGTGCTCAGAGCCTACCCTCCCAGGCACTGTGGGCCACACAAGGTGGCGGGCAGGGGTCGTTCTGAGTGCCTGGGGTGGGAGGCAGTGTGGCTGCTGCTGGCCAGGTGGCTGGGATTTCATTCTTCTTCCCGAGAGGGTGAGAGGCTGGGGCCTGAAACTGGGGGTGGTTGAGAAACTGCCTCAAGGCAGAGGGCTGGATGAGGTGATTTCTGGTGGTTTTTCCAGAAAGACTCGGAATCTGGAGCATGTTGGGGCCTCCTCCCTGACCTTCATGGCAATCCGGATCTCCTCGGGGGCGTACAAGGCCTGGGACGGGTGCTGCAGGCGGTTGCGGCGGTAGGGGTAGGTGACAGTGTGGCTGCCCCCGCAGCGCCGGGCCATGGTTGAGCAGGTGTGATCCGCAGAGTTGGGCCCCCTGGGATGCAGACAGCATGGGGTCACTGGGGCGTGCCTCGGGCGGGGCCATCCAGACAGAAGTGGACGGCTCTCCGGGGGTCTCCAGGAGTCAGGCAGGAACAGGGGACCCGGGGACTGTAGGTGGGTGAGCAGAGCAGCCTCGAGGCTGCCACTGGAGGATCACACACACACACACACACACACACCTGCACACATGCTCCACACACGTGTGCACACACATAGGGTGAGGCCGTCGCTTACCGTTTGTAGCAGGGGGAGCTGAGGCAGTGGGCCTGCAGCAGCTGTCGGATCATCTGGCTGCTGGTCTTCACCGAGCCTCCAAAGTGAATCTGTACCTTCTCGATGTCCCACAGCATCTTGGAGTGCATGGTGCGCAAACGCCCGACACTCTGCTCCATCGCTGACTGGTCACCCCGAGGGAGGAAAGTGCTGCCCAGCTTGAGGCTTAGGTCCGGGGCACAGAGGGAGGTCAGTCCAGCGGCAGACAGACCCTGAGGCACTCACTCCCTTCCCTGGGATAAGTGGGCCTGGGCCTCTGGCCCTCAGTGGGACTGTGTGTGGGCGAAGCCAGTATGGGAAGGTTAGAAGTCCTGGGCTGGTGGCCTAGGGCTGGGAGTCCCTGGGCAGCTCTGCCCCAGGGGAAAAGCCCTTTCCAAGTCACCCCTGCTGGGCCAGACTTGCCAGGAAAGGTTTTTCTAAGGGGCCAAAGTACAGATGAAGGGGGCACGAGCTGTGGTCAGTCCCAGCTTCCGAATGTCATCACACACCTGGCCCTATGCACTTGGAAGCCCTGGGGTCCCAAAGAGCCGTACTCTACTGTGAACCACAGCCTTGGGGGCTGGGGGAACCAGAGGAGGGCAGGAGCTGGAAGGACCCTGAGGTGTGTCACTACCAAGCTCGCTCATGGAACCCACCCTCTGGCTGAGTGATGCCCATACCTCCCTTTCCAGGCCCAGGGTTGCTGAGAGGAGGTAAAAAGACCTGGGAGATAATCTGTCTAGGGGCCCCCAGCCTAAGGAGGAGGCTCTATCCAGGGTGCCTCCCCCCGCCCCGGGCTGTCTCTGCTCCACCCTCCCACCCACAGCTTTGCCCATGGTGCCACTGTCCCTTACTTGCGGCTCTGCTGTCGGACCTGCTCCAGCTCAAACACCGTATAGGGGCGGATGGACCGGTGCCCAGGCAGGGCGTGACCCACAGGGGTCACCGGGATGATTCTAGACAGGGACACAGAGAGAAGGGGAGGGTCAGAATGTGAGAATTCCTGTCACCCAGATCATCCGCCACCCACACTCGTGTTCCACCTGCCTGCAAGGCCCACCTGGGACAGAGCGGGGGAGAGAAGGGAGGGAGAGGGACAGAGGCGGGGCAGGAGAGGATGGATGAGATGCACCGGGCAAGGCAGGGGCACTCACCGTCCGGTCACAGGGGTCTCCAAAGGACGGTCGCAGGAGAGGCAGTGGAAGTGAGCCAAGAGCTGCCTGCAGGAATGGATGCACCGAGGTGAGAGGCTGGAAGACTGCAAGTTTGGCCCACCTGGGTGGCAAATCTGAGCCCTGTGTCCTTGAAACTCACCTGCTCCCAGACATGACCTAACCCAAAGCTGGCAGGGTTCCCAGGGCCCCAAAGGTGCCTTGTCTAGGCCTTGGGGGCCCCCTGGTGGCCAAGAGTGGAAATCCTGGGCCTCAAGCCCAGGGCAGGCCAGGTCCCCCAAGGAGCTGTCTCTGCTCTAGGACTGCAGCGCCCTCCGCTCCCTTTCTCCACTGTCATCTGAAGGGGCTTGAGCTACAGAAGTTCTTCCAGCTCTAAACTCTGCCCTCCAATTGTAGGACAGTCCGAGGTGGCACCAGCTGTGCACTGGCAGGAGCTGCTTTTGGGAGCGCCCCAGCCTCCCTCCTGCCTCCCAGCACAGCGTGGCAGCCTCCTGTGGTCTTCCAGTCCTCCTCACCTCCGCATGGCGGCTGCCTCATCTGCCTGGTAGAGGGGAGAGCGCTCTTTGAGCTGTTCCCGAAGTGACTTCCATCGATCCTCCAGCGCCTGCTTCACTGGGTCCAGCTCCAGGCGGTCCAGCTGTGGGTGGGCACAGGCAAGCGCCAGGGTAGCAGGTGGGGTCTGGCAGGGCCCTAGCAGTGGAGACTGGCCCTGCCCAGGCTGCCCTCACCTTCATGTCCATCTCTGCCAGGAGCTTGTCCAGCAACTTCTGCCAGTCCTGCTCCTGCCCACTCATCTTGGCCATGAGCTCCTGCATCATGTGGTTCAGCTGCTCCGTGGTAGCATCCAACTGGACCCGGCTCACCTTGGACGCTAGGGCGCTCTTGTCAGCTTTCTGCCCGGAGAAGGGGTGGGGAGGCCCCGCAGGAGAGAGCCATGGCAGGGTCCCTTCCCCCCAGGCGTCAATCCCTGTTGCCCAGCAGCTTTTCAAGAGCCTGCATCCTCCACTCCCAGCTCCCTGCCCTTCTCTGGCCAGCCAGATCTCCAGGACAGGGTGGCTCCCAGCTGGCAACTCACTACTTCAATCTCCATCTGCAGGTGCTTCCTGTTGGCCTTTTCCTTCTCCAGTTTCTCCAGGCGCTGGTACAGCACCTGGGGCCCAAGCAAGCAGTGCATGAAGAGCCCCCAGCTGGGCGGCAGGGGTGGGTGGGCCAACCTTCAGCCCAGCCTGGACCACTCACATCAATGTCTTTCTGCTTCTGCCAGTGGTCCTCGATGAGGTTGCTGGTGGTGATGTTGAGCTTCTCACAGTCGCCCTGCACCTGCAGGATGGCGCTCTGCACGTGGCCCAGCAGCTCCTCATCCTGGCTCAGAAGGGACAGGGAAGGCACTGTGAGGCTGCTGGGGTGACCACTAGGCGCCCCCCTAATGAGTTGGTCCTTAAAGCACTGCCCAACAGGGAAGTGCACTTCAGACCCCTCCCTCAGTGCCTCAGTGGCACTCACAGTTTCCCATTAAAAGTTGTATCCCCAGTAGGATGGGAGTGTCAATCCCCCACGTCCTTCTGGGCTGGCCTCAAGGATCCTGTGGCCTCTGAGAATTGAGGTGTGGGCTATCATCTCCCCACCTTCCCTGAGTCAGATCTGAATTCAAGTCCAGGAGGCAGGACCCAAGGATTGTGGCTTTCCCCTCCCCCACTGGCAAGCCTGCTCTTTGGAGGGAATCCGGAAGGGGTTGGGAAGACTGGTGTGGCCAGGTGAGTCCGTGACTCCTGCAACTGTGCCTAAGTCCCTGTGTCATGTGGCACCCGCCCACCCACCTACCGGGCCAGCTCTTCCCACAGTTTCCTGTGGCCAGAGCTACTTCTGCTGCTACCCTTGCTGTGGAAGGATTGGGGACTTTGTTTTGTTCTGTTGTTTTTTGAGACAGGGTCTTACTATATGTAGTTCATGCTGCCCTTGAACGCACTATGTACCCCAGGCTGGCTGTGAACTCCTAGTGATCCTCCTGCCTCAGCCTCCTGAGTGCTGGGACTACAGGTGTGTGCCACCAGGCCTGGCAAGGACCAGGGATTTTGGTGGGATCTGGCTAAAGGGCACCACAATGAGAAACTGACCAGCAAGACCAAAGACCTCGGGGTGGGGAGGGAAGAGCGCAGTCAGCCACCACCTCCCCTGGGGACTGTCTGGCTGCCCCAGGAGGGAGGGGAGTGCAGCCCCACCTGGCTCTGAAGCTTGGCCTTCCTGGAGGGCCGGGAGGCAGCCAGGTTGCTGACCATTTCCTGCAGCTGCTCATAGCGCTGCACCAGTGTGCTGACCTGGTGGCTCAGGTCCAAGCTGCAGGCTGGGCAGGTGGCCTCGGGGTGAATCTGGCTGGGTGCCAAGATGGTCAGGGGCTTGTGTGGGGTGATGCTCAGGGACAGCAGTGTGGAGGAGGAGGCCAGCATGCTCTCCATGATCGTCCTGAGCTTGTCTAACTGTGAGCAGGAGAGATGCAGGGGCCAGGGCTGTGGGTAGGTCACAGCCCTGTGCTGTCCACGCCAGCCTATAAACACTCAGGCTCTGCTCAAGCACTGGGATGTGAACGGTGGACTTGTACACGCTCTGTCCACAAGCATGTGCATAACCAGCAGTGTGACCAAGGGATCTGACAACCACACTGTACTTCAGGGGTCTCTCCAGGCCTGAGGGGTGCAAGCCTGCCCCTCAGAGAGCGGCTCAGTCTGGCTCTCCTGCTCTCCTCTGCATCCCAGTTCGAGCGAGCTGTTGCTCAGGATCGATCCCAGTTGCTGGCTCAACAGCAACCAACCCGGACCTGCTTCTTGGCTTGAGAGGAGTGTAGCTGACCCGCACCCACTTGTCTTGGTCTGGGTAATGAAGCTGAAAGCCTCCACACAGCCACCTGGGGTCAGGTGTGCGAGACAGGCAAGCTGATTGGGGGTGGGATGGCAGAGAGGTATGAGAGGCTGCGAGGGACAACGTAGAAAGGGACACAGATGTGCACAAAACCGGGCCACAGGAAGATGGAGGGAGTGGCTGTGGTCTGGGGCGGGCCTGAGGTGCAACAGTCCTCAGTACTGCAAAAGAAAGAAGGAAGGAGGGGGAAAGGAAGGAACGGGAAAAGAAAGGAAATGAAATAACTGATACATGCTAAAACATGCCTGGACCTGAAAACATTACTAAGTGAAAGAAGCCAGAGGCAAAAGGCCACATATCACAAGACTTCATTTCCATCAGATAAATGTCCAGGAGGGGCAAATACGTAGAGACAGACGAGGATGAGTGGTTGTCAGGAGCTGAGGCTCGGGGCTGGGGATTTAGCTCAGTGGTTCTGGTGCCTGCCTCACAAGTGCAAGGTCCCGAGTTCCATCCTCGGTACCAAAAAAAAAAAAAAAAAGGAGCTGAGGCTGGCCTGTGTGTCTAGGGGAAGGATGGAGGGAGAGCCACTGCTAAGAGGTACAGGCCTTCTTCCGTGGGGATGAGACGCCTTAGAATTACAGCGTGGTCATGGTTATACAGCTTTGTGAGTGCACTAAAAATGCCTTCATCATTTCCAAAAAGGGCACGATGTGTAAGTGATGTAACGAAACAGATTCAGAGGGAGGTGCCCAGGCCTCAGTACCCTTTGCCCTTGGCCTCAGAGCCGGCCTGGCATCTGGAGGGCCTGAGCCTTACTCACAGTTACTCACCCATGGGGGCCTGGTCTCTGAGCAGAGAGAGGCCCTGCTCACTACCTGCAGCCAACCCATGGAATCCTCACCTGATCCTGAAGGTACAGGGAGGCTTCAGCCACCGAATTCTCCATGGCGGCCTTGCCTTGCTCTTGACTGTCCCTCAGATCAGCCAGCTCCTTCTCAATGTCAGTCACGGTGATTCTGTGATGCAAGAGAGACTGCCTGGCTCTGGTCACTGCCAGCCCAGAGACCCAAGCTGGTGGTGCAGACCCCTAGCTGTGGGGGGTACAGGACAATGATGGGGCTCACCACCCCTGGCAGCCCTGTCTTGGGAGTCCTGGGCCCTGCTCCTGTTCCAAAAGGGGCACACAGTGTGCTGCCCCGAGGCTGCTAGACAGTGGGACAGGGCCCTGCACAGCAGGGGCTCATGCGGGTGGCCTTGTCTGCCTCAAACTGGGGACAGTGTAAGGAGTAGCTTGCCCCTTCAGCCCCAGTACTGAGTTGGTGTAGGAGAACTTCTACCAGTTCCCCGAATGAGATGTGGGCAACCTGAAGAGCAAGTACAATCCAGGTCGCAGGCAGAGGTCAGTTCAGGGCACGAGGAAACCGAAGGGTGCCACCACCTCCCAGCCTGAGAGGGTGTCGCCAGTCTGGCAGCTGCACCGGGTGGGACGTGTCACCTGAGGAGGCCTAGCTGCAGGGCTAGCTGACCAGCCTTCAGCTCCTCGCCTGCTACCTGCTCGCCGTCGCCCTCCAGGAGCCTTTGGACCTTTTCCACCTGCAAGCCCAGTGGAAGAGGAGAATCAGGCAAGCCCGAGTCCCCACTCCCTGGCTGTAGCCCTGTAGCCCAAATGAGCCCCTCTCCCGTTCTCTAACCCCTACCCAACCTTCCCTGACAAGAGTCCAGGTTCTTCTGACCATCCAGCCGCCCATCGATCTCACAGATGCAGATAGCTAGCATTGAGAATGACTGAAGATCTAGCCCTCTAACTCCAGAAAGTCCCACATTGGGGGCAACTGCATACTCAACTGTGTGCTAACGGCTTTGGGTGTCCATTTTTAGATCTAGGAAATGGGCATAATACCCAGGTACGCCTCCTAACTGACAGACAGCAGAGACCCAGTGAGACGGCAGTGAGTGGCAAAGGACTGTCATCAAAGCATGAGTGGAAAGGGCTACAAGGCAGAGGAGGCTGACTTTCTCTGACGTACTTTTGCCTTTTCCTGATGAACTTCTTTGGGCAAAGCCTTCAAGGTCTTCATCTGTTCCTGCAGGTCAGGGAGTAGAATCTTCTTGACTGTGGAAAATGGAGGCCATGCTGTCAGAAGGGTTAGATCCTCAGTGGGCTCCCAGTCTCCATTTCCAGCCCACAACAATGAAGTGACCCCAGAGAAGTGGAGATAGCAGTTCATCCTGCTTTCCTGGTGATTGGGACAAGAGGGGAGCAGAGGAGAAGAGAACTGTCTTTTGCCCACAAAAACCCACCCACTGCTTGGGGTCCTAAAGGGTCTTGTGTGCACTGACTCACCACTTCCGTCCATCACTAAAATCTGAATTCTCCTCAGGGCCTAGAGTTGTGACAGGTGAATGTTACGTTTCACTCTTTGGCATTCTCTCTTCCTACCCATCTCCCAGTGTTACTGTTTTCCCTCCCCCAGCAGCTCCCCCAGCTACTTGCCAGGCAGCTCCTCTGACAAAGGCAAGAATCTGCTTCAATCCTACTGGTTTAGTTTTTGCCTTGCCTACCTGTTTACGTGGACCCTGAAGGCTGTGGGAGAACCCAGAAGGTCTAAGAATGGACATGCTATTCTCAGGGGCTCAAGAAGGTGTGCAGCAGCCAGGGTTGAAAAAGATCACACCAACCGAACACAGGACAATGGTCTTTCCTCACCCATCAGTGTGAATAGGTACTGTATCTTCTCTCTGTCCGTCTGGCCAGCTTTCTCCTCATCCAGATCCTTCAGATTTTCCTTCAGTTCCACATAGAGCCCAATGAGCTCTCCCATCAGACGAAATGTTTCCAAGGCCATGGGGAAGTTAGGAGCCAGTTTCTCCAGTGAATTACGTTGCTCACTCTGGGTCCCACTCCTGGGTTCACTTCTTTCTGATGAGACTTGGTGGAGAAAGCTAAGGGAGTCTTGACTCCTGTCAGAGGTGGCATCTTGGTCTGACTCAGTCTGAGCAGGAAAGTCAGGAATTCTGTTTGGATCCAAAGCAACCCGGCCACGTGGATCAACACCCAGGGACCCTGGGCCACCATAGCCTGAATACCCTGGGCCCTGTTGGTCCCAGACAGGATGTTCTTGACCAGGCTGAACTGCACCTGGGTATATCTGGGCTTGCTGATCTGGGCCAGGTGATACCAAATACTGTTGGTCAGGACGTATAGATTCTTTATCTGTACGTGGTGATGATGAGGCTTGACTGGCTAGGAATGGCGACAAACGACCATGCTGTTCTTGTCCAGGAGGTACCATACCACGAGGATATGGGTATGGGTGAGGTGATCTCAAGCTCCTCAAATCTGCCTGGAATGGTGGAAATCTACACAACTCCGTGCCTGGAACTATCAAGCTTTGGTGATCTGCACTGGGTTGTCTCCAACCATGCTGATCCATTCCGGGTTGCACCAAACCACGCTGATCCATTCCAGGTGGCACCAAAAGCACTGAACCTTGTTGATCTGCACCGGGTTGCACTGAACCTTGTTGATCTGCACCGGGTTGCACTGAACCTTGTTGATCTGCACCGGGTTGCACTGAACCTTGTTGATCTGCACCGAGTTGCACTACATCACTCTGATCCATTCTAGGCTGTACAAAACCATGTTGACCTATACCAGGTTGGACCGGTCTATGTGAATCTGCACCAGCCTGTGCCCAAGCAGGTGGATATGCACCAGGCTGCACCCAACCGCTAGGAAATGTCCCAGGTTGCATGAGATCATGCCGACCCATTTCAGGGTGGACCAACCCATGCTGATCTGCACCATGCTGGGCCACATCAAGCTGAGCTACACCAGGCTGTGTCAAACCATGCTGAACTGTACCAGGTTGTATCAACCTGCGCTGATCCAGTCCAGGTTGGATCAAACTATCCTGATCTTTACCAGGTTGTACCAAATCAGGTGGGTGTTCACCAGGCTGCACCAAACCATGCTGCTCTGCACCAGGTTGGGCCAAGCCAGGCCGATATGTACCAGGCTGCCCCAAAGTGCTCTGATTTCTGTCAGGCCAAATCAAATCATGCTGCTCTGTGCCGGGCTGTATAAAGCCAGATGTTTCCAAACTGGGCTGCACAAAGCCTTGTTGATCTGCATTAACTTGAATCAAACCAGGTGATACCAAACCATGTCTGTCTATAGGAACTGGAGACAATCCATGTTGGTCTATGCCAGAAGGTTCCAATCCTTGCTGAACCCCACCAGGAGGGACCAGTCCTCCTTGATTCACACCCAATGTTACAAATCCATGCTGATCTATGCCAAGTGGTCTCATACCACTCTCAGGCATGCCAGGCTGTTTCATACTACATTGGTCTGTGCCAGGAATTATCATGCCATACTGATATGGGCTGAGTGGAACCACACCAAGCTGGTCTGTACCAGGTAGTCCTGATCTTTGTTGATCTCTGCCAGGTACCAATGGTGGCACCACCCCACGCTGATCCATGCCAAGTGGTTCCAATCCCTGACAATCCATTTGAGGTGGCAGCATACCAAGCTGACTCACACTGATGGGAACCACACCAGGTAGTGTAGTGCTAGCATATGGCAATCCCAGCTGATCTATTCCAGGTAGTCCTAATTCATGATGATCTGGCCTTACATAGACTTGGCCCTGGCCAATGGGCTGATCTCTGGCCAAGGGTAAGTCTTGTTGAGCTGGGCCAGTGTGTATATCTCTTCTGGGATACCCTGAAGTAAATTGTTCTCTACTCCTGTGGTGATCTGACTCTGTTCTAAATTGGGGTATAGAAGGTTGATAGAATCTTGACGCATTAGCTTCAGCATGGGCCCTTGTGTGCTGTTCTCTACCAGGAGCAAAGGAGCCTTTGCCCCGTTGCTTGATAGTGACTGCTTCATAGAGGTGGCCCGTGGCACTGGATCCAGGTAAGGGCTGACGTGGCCCACCAGCGGAATCTGGAATGTGGTCAGTACTTGTATACTTGGTGGAGACCCCACTTTGAATGAGGTCACTTGATGTTAAGGAAGACTGCACTTTGCGCTTAGAAAGTCCTAACGCTGTTTCTGAGCCCTGGTTGAACAAGAAGAAGGAAATCAGTCACTATAAGTCAAAAGTACTGTAAGAGTGGAAAGGAAGAAGATCTGATATCTGATTAGGCGGATTTAGGACCCTTGAATAAAAACACTCTTCCCGAGTGAAGCTGAATATAAAAAAAAAACTTTGACATTCTTGGGTTTTTGAGACTCTGTACATTTGCAAATGCCATCATACGTGTAATTTCCTTCATAAAAGACAGGGAAAGCTGCAAATAGGACTGATCTATGGATTTGGACTGAATCTGTAGCTAGAGGACATAAGTAATTAGTTAAATTAAAAATATAAAGACTCCCACTGTTAACAAATTGCTGATGGTAAAGTGCATACTGGGGGGCAAGTAAACCAAACCAAATCAAACAAAACAAAATGAAAAAACAAGCACACCCTTGGATCAGGAAATTCCATAGATGAGAATTTTCTCTATGGACTCTCACAAAAGGATGACAAGACAGACACACAAAGATGCAGTTGGCAGCATTGCTTACGAGAAGAGATTATCAATAGGGCACTGGTGTGCCGGACGTGGTGGCCCACAGCTGTAATCCCAGCAGTTGCAAGGCTGAGGTTGGAGGATTGCTGCAAGTTCAAGGCCAGCCTGGACTACACAGCAAGACCTTGTCTCAAAAGAGGGGCCGGTGTGCTGGTATATTTAAGACACAGACATACAAGGGAATGTTATGGCTCCATTAAAAATTAATAATGGACTATGTTAGAGCTGGGGATTTAGCTCAGTGGCACCATGCCTGCCTCGAAAGTTCAAGGTCCTGAGTTTGATCCTTGGTATCAAAAACAAACCAAAAACAAATAATAGACTATTTCCATTCCAGCCAAGATGAAATAACAGAGCTTTACCCTTCTGTATAACAGCCAAAAAACAAAACTAAAACAAAGATCAACAATTACAAAACACCAGCTTTCTAGACCCTGGATATCAGGCAATGAAGGATAGAAATCCCCGAGAGGCTGGTGAGACAAACAGCATGAGCCTTTCCATTTCCTCAGCTTACTGCCACCATGTAGTTCCAGCCGCAGCACAGGGAGAGGAAAAGGAGATGGAGACCTGCAGACTCCCCAGGCGGCAGAAGTGTGGCTGGGCATTAGCGGAGGTTAAGGCAAGCAGCATTCACGTGGCAGCGTAGCAGAAGGGAGAGGCAGAGCTTCCTCTCTAGCGCTCAGCTCAGAAATTCTGAGCCGCAGACACTGGAGGAGACTACCCACGGCTGGGGAAGGAACTGTCTGCAAGGCTCGGGGAACGGACTCTTACGCAGCCGGGGACAGGATCTGTTTCACCAGCCAGTGTGGGAAAGCTCCTCACTGAGGGTGCAGGGTGGAGCACTGAGACAAGTCCTGCCTAGATGGCAGCCAGCCCTAGGCGGAACCCGCCAGACAAGACCCACCAAGCAAAGCCACAAACGCCAGGCCTGAGAAGACCAGACTGTTTTCAAGTAACTGCACTTGGGAGGATGAGTTCAAACAGATATATAAGAATTCGAGGGCCAGGAATGTGGCTCAGCGGCGCCGGGCCTGCCTGGGTCCTCAGTTTGATTCCTGGTACTGGAAAAAAAAAAAAAAAGAATTCTAAACATATCCAGCCCCGGACAAAGAAAAAGTCACAATGGCTGGTTAGCAGGCACATGAAGAGGCAGGAAAATAAGACCCAGAATGAGAGGACTCAGTCAACTGAAAGCAATGCAATCCAGACACAAGCATTAGAATTAGCAGAGGAGGCCATTAAAACAGGTATTGCCACTCTTTCTTATGTGCAGAAAGTTAAGTAGCAGCATGGAAGGTATTTTTTAAAAGACCTAATGGAGATGAAGAATACAATGAGAGGAAAACTATGCTGGATGACACTAGTGACAGATTAGACATTGCAGGGAAAGAGTTACCGAGTCTGAAGGCAGAACAATAGAAGCAGTCTAAAATGAGATGAGAAAAATAAAAATAAAACATGAAAAGAACATCAGTTAGCCGTTATACACACATACACACACACACACACACACACATACACACAATTGGACCCCCTAGAGAAGGAGCGGACAGAAAAAAAATCAAATAATGGCCAAAAACTTTCCGAACTTGATGAGAACTATCAACTTAGAGATACAAGAAGCTTAATGTATTCAAGCACAGAAATGAAGACAGTGGCACCACGACGCATTACAAATGGCTCAAAATCAGTGGCAAAAAGAAAACCTTAAAAGCAGCTAGAAGGCTGGGGATTTAGGTCAGTGGTTTCGCCGCCTGCTGCACAAGCGCAAAGACCCAAGTTCGATCCCCGGTACCAAAAAAAAAAGCAGCTAGAGAAAAAGATACATGCAGGGTAAAGTTGAGGAGGACAGTGATTGCTCCTTGGAGAGCCAAGTGTGGTGGTGCACACCTGTAATCCCAGCACTCGGGAGGCTGAGGCAGGAGAATCGCTGTGAGTTCTGGGCCAACCTAGGCTACATATAGCAAGACTCTGTCTCACAAAACAAAACAAAAAATCTCAAAACAACATTTGTTCATTGGAAACAAGTAAGCACAGTGGGACAGCACTTTTCTACAATACATGAAAATGTCAACTAGAATTCTATAGCAGACAAAAAATATATTTAAAAGTGATGGAAAGCTGGGCTTGGTCATGCATGCCTCAATCCCAGCACTCGTGACACTGAGGCAGGAGGATCTCAAATTTGAGGCCAGTCAGGCTAGTGAGTTCAAGGGCAGCCTGAATTACATAGCGAGTGAGACCCTGTCTCAAGAAAGCAAAAAACAAAATAAAACCAAAAATGCCATTATTTTCTGTACCTTTCTCAGGAAAGAGAAAACACTCTCAAGTAATGAGGAAACCCCACCAACTCTGACACATCCTGATTTCAGAACAGTTAAAACCAGGGAAGGGAGAAGTGCATTTCTTCTGCGCTTCCCTCTGTGCACCTTGAACAATAAGCAGGTGTAGTTGACAACTCTCCCTCCTACTAAACTGGGGCCATCTGTCCTCACTGCCTTCACTGAGAGCCCCTCTCCACAACCTGCTAGTTCCATGCCGCAATACAATGCAAAACCCTTATTTCTGCTTTCCTAGGGATGTGCTGTGAGGTCGGACATACTCATTTTGCCCAGCTAAAATCAGGTTACATTTTGTGAAACACCTCCCTGAATTGCTCCAGTATTCTGATCCCAAAACAGGAGATATCTAAATGATGACTGCAACCTAAAGGGTAAACAGAGAAAGAGGGGCTTAGGGTAAATGCAACTTGACTTAAAAAAAAAAAAGTAGCCTAAGTAGTTCAGGCTGGCCTTGAACTCATGGTGATCCTCCTGTCTCAGCCTCCCAAGTCCTGAGATTACAGGAATATAATATATTCATTGACCTAAAATACACATCTCCCCAATTCCTTGCCTCAGGAATCAAACCCAACCAGAGCTGTTTAAAAGGCTTTAGTTATCCCAGTATTCTCAAAATAGATATTGTGTAGTCTTGTCCCCATTTTAGTGCTGGGAATATTACTTTACAATCCAAGAGTTTCTAATCCAGTGCCTTAATCATCAAGGAGTGCACAACAGCGAAGTGTTTGTTCTAGAGGGGAGATTCATGCCCCGCCTCTGTGCCTGTCTTTATTTGTCCTTTTCTCCAGTTTTTGCCTCCAAGGTCCCCATGAGATTTGGACCTTGAATTCCACAAGATAACAAGAAAGGATAATACCATTTCCTGGCCATCTGAAGCTTGTCCAGTGTTAAAGACTTTTTTAAAAACTGCTTTGTCCTCAAAGAAGGCTTAGAAATAAGACTTTCAGGCCTGGGGATGTGGCTCAGTGGTAAAGCACCTGCCTAGCATGCACTAGGCCCTGGGTTTCAGCGTCATGAAAAAAGAGAGAAAGAGAGGGAAGCAGAGAGACAGTTTTAGTTTTTGCTTCTTAGTTCAGCCTATCAGGTCACCAAAGCTTCACAGAGAAAATATCCTTTCCCTTGGGCACGCTATTTCTGTAAGACAACACTTGAATCCTTGTCCGCAAGGCCCTTGGACTTAGTAAAAGTGTCACCGGGAGATTCCTAACTTCTCCCCTTTCACATGTCCCTCAAGTTGAGCTCATTGGCATTTGGATTCATTATCTTGGTCTCAGGAAGCCAAAGGAATTTTCTTTTCTTTGCAGTCTTAAGAGTTGAATCCAGGAGTGTTCTACCACTGGGCTACATCCCCAGCACTTTAAATTTTCTATGTGTTTTGTGGTACTGGGTAATCAAACTTGGGGATGTTCTACCACTGACCTACATCCCCAGGGCTTTTTGAAATTTTCAAATTTTGAGGTTGGTTCTTGCTAAATTGCCCTGGTGGGACTTGAACTTGTGATTCTATTGCTTCAACCTCCCTAAGTGTTGGGATTACAGATGTGTGCCACTGTGCTCAGCTTTTTTTTCAGACAAGGTCTCACCAAGTTGCCCAGACTAGGCTTGAATTTGTGATCCTCCTGCCTCAGCCTCCCAAGTAGCTGGGATTATAGGTTTGTGTCACTGTGCCCAGAAAAGGAAACTTTTTCTCCTTTTATTTTCCCTTTGCAGTGCTAGAGATGTAACCCAGGGTCTTGCATAAGCCAGGCAAGCACTCTACCACTGCGCTTCACACCTGAGCCCCTTATTAAGCAAGAAGTGACTAGAGCTCTGTGGGTGAGTCTTTCACTATTTGTCACCCAAGTCCTGGAAGAGCACTTTCCTTACGCTTGGGAACTGCTCTGCAGTCACTGGACGCCACCCGTGGAGGATTGCAGTCGAGCTCTTTCCTGGGATAGGTTACCCGAACGTGAGGTGCTGCTCTCTATCCATCACCCCCACCCTTCGTGCTCCCTCTGCCACTCTCGCTCTCTGCTCATGATGCGTGCAGAGAGGCATCATGACGGCCTTTGAGTCACCACCACTCACTGAAACCCACACGGACCTTAAAGCCACGTGCTGCCAAGTCCCGACTTATTCGAGTTCGAGGGTCCCCCGGCCACGCACTCGTAAAGATTGGGGTCTGAGGCATTCTCTGACCTCCACGGGATGGACTGAGATGCCTCACCTCTTTCCTGATGGTCCCTGCCGTGCAATGGAGGAAGCTGTCCCCACCTACCACACATTCTCCTGCTTCTCAAAAAACAATTTTTTTTTAATGCTGTACTGAGGATTGAACCCAGGGCCTTTGCACTGAACTATATTCCTGGCCTTTCAAAATTTTTTTAAATCTTGAGTCAAGTTTTCTCACTTAGTTGTTGAGTTGCCCGGGCTGGGTTTGAACTTACGATCCTCTTGCCTCTGCCTACCAGACTGCTGGGATTTAAAAATCTTTGAATATTTGTATTTACTCTTATTTGCCTTTGGAGTTGATTTCTTCATTTTAAGTAATGAACGTGTTCCTTACTTTTGGAGAAGTAAACATGTCTAAAGGTATTTATGTGTTTTGTGGTCGTCCTCGGCTGTCGCCTGAGAAAATGTGTTGGTTACTAAAAACAACATGATAGCGGTGCGTGTGTAAAAAAGCTTTGGGGGGGAAGGGGAGGGGAGGCGGGGGGGGAGGGAGAAAGAGAGAGAGAAAACGAACACGTGTACTTACCTAGCCCATGTGAGGTCCTGGGTTTTACCCCTAGCAAAACACACACACAGACACACGCACGCACGCACGCACGCACGCACGCGCACACACACAGAGCCAGCAGAGGGCGCTGTTTTTCAGCGTTCTCTTGCAACTCTCTCTGCTGTTTCCCCCGAGGATGGGCGGGGAGACCCGCAGGCTACCTGGTGAACCCAGTTAGTAAGTATTTGGCGTTCTCCTAGATGAACACTTGGGGCACTGAAAGTTTCACTGATTTTCTGCTGTCTGTGCCCCTGCGTGATTCTGTTTGAGGATCACAGTTGCACAGAGCTGGGGGAATGAGACTGTCAGAACCAAAGGGGCAGCTAATCCAGGTCTGCAGGGGCCATCTGAAAATAACCTAGGTTGACAGTACTCAGATGAAGAAAGAGTGGGGATTTGGTCATTCTGCACACCATCTCAGGATGGGAGATGCAGACCCATGTGCAAAAGTCACCATTAGGAAAAAAAAAAAGTCACCATTAGGAGCCAGGGATGGTGGTGCACAGCTGTTATCCCAGCACTCTGGGAGGCTGAGGCAGGAGGACTGCAAATTAGACTCCAGCCTGGGCAACTTAGTGATTTAGCAAGACCCTATCTCAAAATAAAAAATAAAAAAAGGGACTAGGGATGTAGTTCAGTCCAAAGGCCCTGTGTTCAAACCTTACTACTTTGAAAGAAAACAAAGCAAAGTAAGGGCCGGGGTTTTAGCTCAGTGGTTCCACCACCTGTCTCACAAGCAAAATGTCCTGAGTTTGATCCCTGGTACCAAAAAAAAAAGAAAGAAAATCAGAACTAAAACAAAGCAAAGTCACCATCAGCAAAGGGCCTCCCACAAGGGTTGGTTATCCTGGTCCCTGAACAGCAAAAGGACTTGTGCATTTCAGGAAAGACTGTAAAGGAAATATGAAAAGCTACAAAAGCAATGAAAACTATACTTAGGCATCATTCTCCCACTCAGCTTGACAAAGCTCAAAATACTGGATACTGACATAAGGTGTTAGGAGGAAGGGAAGAGTGTTAAGAAATAAGTTCTTAGGGCCAGGCATGGAGCTCAGTGGCGCCTCGCCTACCTGGCAAGCAGAAGCTCCTAAGTTTGATCCCCAGTACCAGAAAACAAAACAAAACAAAAAAGAAATAAGTTCTTTCCTGTGTTGCTGGAGGAAGTCTAAGCTGAAACGATGTCCATGGAAGGCAATAGCTAGTTAAATCAAGAACACATGTCCATTTCTAGCCCTTTATCCTATTCACATGTGTGAATGTCATCTCGGAACAATTGTTAGAAGACTGGAAAAAATATGCAAGATACCCAGATATGGAACTGGTGAAATAAATTAGGAAAATCCATATACCAAAATATTGTGCAGTGGTAAAAAGATAGAGGTGTGAGGAGCTCCACTCAGATCACCACCCAGGACCCCTGGTTCCTTACCACTTGGGAGGCCTTCCAGCCATTGGCAATTGCTTCCTCCAGCTCTTCCCAGGTGACCATGGTCACTTCTTCTCCGCTAGGAACCAAAGTCAGTTTCTGGCCCATGTATTCCTGACAATAAAAGGCAATACATATGCAGCCAATGAAGAGCTGGGCAGGGATAGAAAGGGCTTGCCCCTGCATCCAGAGCCAGTGGGCATGCAGAGGGACGTTGGGACAAGCCCTAGTGAGAAGTCAGGCTGAGAATATCTCCCCCTGTGCTCCGGAGGGCGCTCCCCCAGAGTGGGCTGACACCCCCATGTTACCAGGAAATCATCGCGTTCTTTGATTAGCTTCTCAAGTTTTTCTATGCGCTGGAAAACTTCCTGGAAGGAGAGTTCAGAGATGAGCATCATGCATCCCAACTGGGGCCCCTGCACATATGCACATGCACGCACACACATGCACACGCACACGCACACTCACACTCAACTGGAGGGAACAGAGGAAAGGAGGCATGTGTGTGGCTTTGGGGGGAGGGAGGGCTTCTAGTTCCTACCCGGTTTTACCTGGCCTGCAGTAAGTCTAGGCTCCCAGTTCTTTTCTCAGCCAACAAGAGGAGGGAAGTAGGGTGCCATAGGGGTGGTAGGGGGACAGTGTGCCAAAGGTCAGTGCTATCTCAGGGGTGAGAACTTCTGGGCCTAGGGTTCATCTCACACTACCCCCTACCCAAAGCTGCCAGCACAGCTGCACGGGGCCCACTTTGCTTCTCAGGAAGCCAGTACCAGGGACTTCTGCAGTGTCTACGCCATTTAAAGAGCAAAGCCCTCAAGAGAACCCCTGTGCCAACCTCCCAAATCTAGGATTAGATTAAAAACAGAACAAAATGAAACAAATCCCCTACCATTTAAAGTTGAAAAAGAAAAAGGGGTACAGTTCCCAGAGCAAAGAGGAGCGGGTCTGAGGTCACAAGGTCTGGAATGGCACAGGGTGCGTCCATGCCTGGGGCTCCGCTTGCCCCAGACTTGCTCCCCAGTGGCTCCTTCTTTTCCCTCTGGGTTGAAGTGCGAGTGTACACTCATTAGACAGGGCTTATTCTGAGCCATTTGTGTGGCTTCTTCCCCCAAGAAAACCGAGGCCAGGTGAGTGTCCCCTGCCTGCCGTATCTTGTGTCCATAGCCACAGGGCGATGATGTTCAGCTCTGCATCCCAACCTCCTCCTTGTGGACTGGCCTTTGCTTTCAAAGCCCACTGCCTGGTTTTTATTTTTATTTTTAGTGGTGCTGGGGATTGGCACTAGGCACACTAGGCAAGCTAGCCTTTATTCCCCTTAATTCTGAGACGAGATCTCGCTAAATTGCCCAGGGCTGGCCTTGAATTTGTGATCCTCCTGCCTCAGCCTCCATCCCTAGCCCTTTTAAAAATTTTTTTACTTTTACTTTTATTTTTTTCCTAGCCCTTTTTTTTAGTTTTTAAATTTTTGAGACAGGGTATCTCTAAATTGTCCAGGCCAGCCAGGATGGAACTTGGGACCATCCTGCCTTAACCTCCCTGAGCACTGAGATTATCAGCTTGTGCCCCCATGAACAGCCCCCCCCTTCCCCTCCTCCACTTCCTCTCCTTCTGCTCCCTCCCCCTCCTTCCCTTCCTCTCCTTCTCTTTGTGTGGGGATTGCACCCAGGGCCTTCACACCAAGCTACATCTTCAACTCTTTTTTCATTTTTTGAGACAGGGTTTCACTGAATTGCCCAGGCTTAGCTCGAGCTTGCAATCCTCCTGTCTCAGCCTCACAGAGTGCCAGCTTTACCTCTTAACTCATTTTTATTTTATTTTATTTTTTCAGTTTTTTGAAGATAGAGTCTTGCTATGTAGTTCAGGCTGGCCCAGAACTCACTATGTACCCCAGACTGGCCTGGAACTTGCAGCAATCCTCCTGCCTCAGCCTCCTGAGTGCTGGGATTACATGCATGTGCCACTACGCAGGGCTTACTTCTTTCTAAGAGGAATTCACTCTAAGACTATTCTGAGATATTGTCAGCTCGTCTGTGGATTAGCTCAGGTTCTTGGGTGTCCGATGAGCTTTGGAAAAGGAGCAAGGGCAGGGGAGCGTGGAAAGGGGCACCTTACTCCAGAGAAGGGCTCCCTGGACACCTTCACCTGTGGTTTCAACTCCTGTGCTTTTTGGTAGGCTTCTTTCAAAATTTTCACATCTTCCACAACATCATGGAGCAGGTTCATGGGCTGCAAGGCAGAGAAAGGCTGCGTAGAACAGGCACAGGAGGCCTGGCCCGCTCCCCTCCGGGCTCAAACACCCCCCCAAAACCCTACCCCCACTCGGCACCAGCTCAAGGCTCAGCTCCCGCCAGGACTAGGAGGAGTCCTGGGGGACAGAAGGTCTGCTGGTCTCCCTATTTATCTCGAAGGTGCTGACCTTCCTTACATCCTCCTGGACTTCCGTTGACCTTATCTGAGCCTCCTCGGTGTCCGGCATGGACATGTTCTTTACCTCCAGCACCGTGGGGGCCTCGAAGCCTAACTCCGTGGAGGTGGAGGTGATTTGCTGCACCTGGGCGGCGATCACCTGCATCTGGCTGTCCACGGTCTTGAGCTGCTTGGTGAGGCCCTCCACCTGGCTGCCCAGCTCCTTCACCTGGCTGCCCAGCTCCTCCACCTGGCTGCCCAGCGCGTGGGAGGACGACCTGCTCGCAGTCTTGTGCTGATCTTTGGAGTGGTGTAACTGCGGCGCGCTGGAAAGGGTGCTTCGAGAGGGGGCTTGGAGGGCCTCGACTGAGCGGCCTCCCTTGGGCGACAGGGTGTGGAAGTCGATGACAGTCTCTTGGAGATTGAGGTTCTTGAGCATGGCCACAATGAGAGTATGCAGGGCCGTGAAGTTGACGGCGCCCACCTCTGGGGTGCCGATGGCCAGGTCGGCAAGCTCCCTAAGGGAGACCTTGGTGGCCGGCGTCGCAGGCGGCATCGCGATCGCTGTTGGGAGCGACGCGCGCCCCCAGAGACAAAGGCGACCAACACGCCCTCACTCCTCCTCCTGCCTCTGGGGCCTTTTGAGGACCCTGTGAGGTCCCCGGGGCGCCCCTGCCACGCGCCTAGCAGTGCAGGGCAAGTCACAGGACTGAGTCTGCTGCCCGGACCCTGGCCTCTTGCAACCAGTGCCCCGTGCCCTGGCGGGGTCCAACGGGCCTCCCCGCAACCCACGGCCACAGAACTTTGGGACCAGGAGCCCCCGCGCCCCAGGATTCCGCATAAGAATGCTTGCTCCCCCTAGAACCGAATCTCCCCACGCAGAACAATGGCCATCGCTGGCCAGGGCCTCTCCCGAAACTCAGCCTGGGGATCTCACCTTTGACCACACACCTCAAAGATCCACTAATTCTTGTTCAGCAAACTTTCCTAAAGATGGGATGGGGCATTTGCACTAGGAGAACATCAGCCCGTGGGGTGGCCTCTTGAGGTCCAACTGGATTCTGTCCATCCCCTTAAACCTTGACAGCTCAGAGCCACTCCCTCATGAGGGGCCACTAAAGATTTAAGGGACACCATGGTCACCAGCTTTGTACCATCAGCTCCATTGTCATCCCATAGGCAGAGCCCTGTATGGGAGGGAAGCAGGCCTGGGGCCATGGCCCCTTGTGGACAGCTCCCATAACAAGTTGTTTAATCAAGGTGGGGACTTGGAAAAGATGACGGACTCCACAGGTGGCTAGTGCTGCCCTAACCCACCTTATCCCTAAACATCCTCACCTTGCTGAGTGCCAGTCACAGGTCAGTACCAGGCAGAAGTATGTGAGCGGTGCCCTGGACTTGGCAGTGTAAATAAAACTTCCCAGGAAGTGCTCACAAGGCTAAGCTCTTCAAAGGAAACTTCTACGAGTGCCTCTGAACCACATCTTATTTAAGTACTTCACCAACTAAGATTTGTAATTTAGTCCAAGCTGGCACTGTTTTTAAGTGGAGGAAATTTTTTTCCCACCGTATTTCTGATACCTGGTGGCCTCAGGTGGTTTTAGGAAATAACTGTATAATCTTTTGTGCATCTGTGCTCCAATCTTAAACTCAGGCCAGGTGGCAAAGTCTGAGCCTTAGGATCAAGCGCTGCCTGTGTGGGAGTCCGTGGTCCCCTGCTGGGTGAAGAGGTAGGCTTGCTCAATTCTTTTTAGTAACTTTCCCAAAGAATGTCTGAAGACACAATTACTACACCAGCTATGTCGTGCCTGCTCTCTGAACATCACATTCGTCTTTACATCCCCGAGACGTAGTATCTTTTTAAATGCTTTGGTGCCAGGGATGGAAAATAAGGGTTTGAGCTGGGCATGGTGGCACACACCTGTAGTCCCAGCACTCAGGAGGCCGAGGCAGGAGGATGGCCTCGAGTTAGAGGCCAGCATGAAGTACAAAGCAAGATCCAGTCTCAGCATGAACTACAAAGCAAGATCCAGTCTCAAAAAGTAAAAAAAAAAAAAGAAAATGAGGCCTTGGGCTCACCCCAGTGCAAGGCTTAGCATCCTGCCAGGTACATTAGGATTCACTAAATACCACAAGGGTAGCACTTTCTAATTCCAGGTACTACTGTCTATTCTAAATATTTTTTTCTGAATGAGTACATTTAAAAATTATCCTTAGAGATTCAAGAAAAAAGTTAATTGAAATCTAGATGGAATTTTAGATTTGAAAGTGCTTGCCTAACTTGACTAAGAATCAAGTCTCATCCCTAATGGTCCACAGCTCTTCCACTACTATCATGCTAATTATTTTAAAGACTGGTCTAGCTCAAAGGTAGAAAACGCCCTCCCATGTTTTCCTGACAAAGGTACGTACACTAGAACTGCAATGATGTGATTCAAAATGGTGGGTAAGGGGCCAGAGATTTAGTTCAGTGGTGCTGCTGCCTGCCTCGCAAGCGCAAGGTCCTGAGTTCAATCCCCGGTACCAAAAAAAAAAAAAAAGTGCAAGGTCCTGAGTTCGATCTCCAGTACCAAAAAAAAATGTTGAGAAGGGCTGAGTCAGTTCTAAGTCTTGCAACAGATGTAGCATCATGTTTTTTTTTCTTTGGTGCCGGGGATCGAACTCAGATCCTTCCACTTGCGCAGCAGACAGCGAAACCACTGAGCCAAATCCCCGGCCCTGTAGCATCATCTATTACAAAGACAATTATTACTGTTGGTTCTTTTTTCTTTTAATTTGGACTTTAACAAGGATTTAACTTTAGTGCTTAGGAACAGGATGGAATGTACATTAGATTTATGCCTGGGGTCTCTCTCTACCATGGACTCTGGCAAGCCTTTATTTTCCTTTGTGTCCACTGTGTTTTGCACAATGTGGGTAAGAGTTAGTCCATCTGCCTAGCAGGGACTCTGCAGTGTAGTGGGGACCCAGGAGACAACAAATTCTTTTATTTGCAACTTCAGAGTGATACAGACACCCAGGGATGGGCTGCACTGTGATAACCCCGCAAGGAACAAGGACACAAATGCTTCACCGTTCCATGGCAGTAGGCATGGCAGTTTCTGGAAGAAAAATAGGATTCTCTACAAAAGACTTATATGAGCTTGACTAGGGAGAGGACAACTGGAGAGAAACAGTGGCAGGGTCACTCAGCTCCCCAACCAAGTTCAATATCACATCTGCATTCTCTGGAGCTGAAATGAATGAATGAACATCATAGAGTTAACACTTTATCTGCTTTTAACTCCTCTTCGATATAACAATTTTCAGATTTTTTTGAGGAGTGTGTCTGTAATTTCTGCAGAAGGAAGAGGGTTGGCGATGGGGGACATTTAAGGCCATGTTGTTTATCACTAGCTTGGTCTTCTTTACTACCTGAATGCCCCCTCCCCACCAATCTTGGCAATCTCTAGCTTCACACGACTTCCTGTCCTTCCCTGCAAAGAAACGCTGTGTGTGTGGCTGATGGCACTGCTTTGTACACATTTTCCTTCAGAGTGCTAGGGTGAAAGCAACTTAGTCATCCACTGTGATGTTTCGGAAAAGATAAGCCATGGACTCTCCATTGTGGATTCTCCGGATTGCTTCAGAAAGAATCAAACTGATATCCACAGTCTTTATCTTGGGACACTGAAGCTTCTGGATCTCATGAGGGACAGTATTCGTCACCACCACCTAGTCACATAGCAATAGAAAAGAAAGGCTGTTACTGATGCATGCCTTCAATCGGCTACTCAGGACAGCGAATCTAGCATTTGTACCCTCAGCCCAAGTTCCAAACTGTGAAACTTGGTTCCACTTAGTACAATTTTATAAACGAAACTGACTTTACACAGGAGAAAGGTTACATGGCTCATGACCCAAGTTCTAAAAATGTCATGGTCTATATAAAAAAAAGAAGTGCAATTTTCCTATTAGCAGGAGAAAATTCAAGTCTCATATGCTACTATAGTGCCAAATTAAAGTACTGTAGCAAACCATATATAACAAACTTGCAATCCTCTAGCCTGAGTGCTGGGATTACAGATGTGCGTCACCCACTGGGCTAAGTAACTTATGATTAAGTCATTTTATTATTCTTAAAAACCACAGCAACAAATTTTTACTCAGACCCAGTGTTCCAGCCCTTTAGAAGCAGCAGACCTCATCAATGGAGGACTCCTCGATCAGGCGGGGGGCCTCTGCAGACAGGATGCCATGAGTAGCCATAACATAGATCTTGTAAGCACCTCTCTCTTTCAGGATCTCCGCAGCAGCAACAAAACTCTCAACATCATCAATAATGTCATCCTGCAAGAAGACAGTTAGTAGTAAGGAAGCGCCCTCTGCCCTACTCCAAAGACACACACTTGCTGCTCTTGTCTGCCCCGTTTCAGAGGGTTTCTGATGGTGAGTCCGAGCACATGCCTGGGTCAAAGACTGAGCATCCAGCAATGGCAAGAGGAGTGCCTTGACGGTACCTTGTGTGTTTGGTAGGGAGAGCGGTGAAGCCCCCCAGTCACGTGTGTGTGATATGATGGCTTGAGCAGAGGACTGCCAAGGCTCGTTTCCTTCTTTCAAACTCCTGATTCATTCCACAGAGCCAGTGTCCCATTTATTTTTTTTTCCAAGAGAAAGTGGCATGAGAGGAAAATAGAAGTAAAGTGAGCTACTGTAAACGACCACTGACCCTCTAGCCAGCAAAGGTGCCAATACGTCAAAATCCTGTGAGGCTGCACTGGGACACGTATTCTCATTGGTGACAATGGAACAGCTAGCCATCTCAGGGTCCTAAAGCTGAAGGAGGACTATGGGGCAAGCTGGTCTGAGGGAACCCAGAACCTACAAGATGGAAGGTTATGCTGCTGAATCTTCCTATGGGGCACTACGGTGCTTTTTTTTTGGTATGGGGATCGAATGCGGGTCCTTGTGCTTGCACAGCAGGCGGCGAAACCACTGAGCTAAATCCCCGGCCTCTATGGTGCTCTTTTTATATTTGTAGTTCTACTTGAATCCCTATTCATTTATATACAAATTTCTGCTACATAAATTTCTCCTAAAGGAGTTTTGGTGAGAAAGGGTAGATGATGGATCCACGGAAATCTATCATCGCTACTGGAAACACAATCCAAAGGCAGAAACTGAGAACCAGCAGCATCACGTCTGCGAAGGAAGGCGACAGTGCAGCACCGTACCACTATGATTGCGATGCGTCCTCCCACATCTCCAACCACAGTTATCGGTGGCTTCTCTTTGGCCATCATCACTAGCAAAACAAAACAATCACAAGACCTGGGTTAGGCATGTGGCATAACATGCTCAAACCTCACTCCCTGAAGTGGTGGCAAAACCACAGCAGAGACACAACAATCACAAGGCATGCGGATTCTCCCTCTGTGAACCTAAGGTCTCTTGGAACAGAGCTGCATAGAGCAGTGCTGACTCACAGAAGGAGAAGGCAGGCCATTCATAAGGGATGATCTAAAAATACAGTGACTGTTTAGAGACTACACTGAGATACACTGCCAAGAACAATGAAATAAGGGTAAAGGAGGGGGAATATTTTGAGGATTAACAAGAATGTGTCTTATTATAATAAATGTAAATATTCTCTGTATTTTTTTTTTTTTTTTTTTGCTACCGGGGATCAAACTTGGGTCCTCGCGATTGCGCAGCAGGCAGCGAAACCACTGAGCTAAATTCCCGGCCCTATTCACTGTATTTTTGATCATGCTTTGTATGTAACTAACTTTAAACTTTCTAGTAGCTACATTATAAAGTAAAAACAGGTGAACTTGACAGATTTTACCCAATATATCCAAAACTTTATCATTGCAACATATATACTTCTTTATATTTTTACACGCTAGTCTTTACAGTTTGGGGTATATTGTATACATACAGCTCTTCTCAGTTGAGACCGGCCACATTTCAAGAGCTCAGTAGCTATATGTGACTAATGGCCACCAGCCTGCACAGCATGGGTAGAAAGAAGAGCAGAGTGTGGATCGTTTCACAACACAGAGAAGCAGCACCTGACATCACTCGGCACAGAGGCCAATTGACTTACTGGGCTGTTGAGGAAACGCAGACTAAAAACCCACCAGGCTGCCTGGTCAAGAGGCAGCTGACTTCGCTTTCTCTCTGAGAAGCCTGGCTTGGGGAGTGTAGCCTTACTGTTAGATGCCTGCAGCACTCACACATTGGGCTCCTGGAACTGGGAACCTCAGGACAGTGCTACAGGTCCATCGTCTTTCCCCATTTAACCGGTCCTTAAAGTAGAGGGTTCTTGGAGGGAGGTGGGGAGAGGAAGGGGGTTAAAAAGACTTAAGCTGTGTTATGTACACGTACCAAGTACCCATGATGAATATAATAATAGAGCACTACAGACATGTACTAATCAAAATTAAAATTAAAAAGTAGAGGCTTATCTCACTGCAAAATCTGCATCTGGAAGAGGTCGTGAGAATACAAAGCAAACTAGAGGACAGAGAAAAAGATTAAGAATTCACCCTTGAAAGGAGGTTACTGGCAAGTGCAGTGGCATATACCTCTAATCCCGGCTACTTGGGAGGCTGAGGCAGGAAGACTGCAACTTGAACCAATCTAAGCAACTTAAAACCCTATCTCAAAAATAGAAAAAATAAAATAAAAAGGGCTGGGGACATAGCTTAGTGATAGAGTGCTTGCTTAGCATGTACAAGGCCCTGGGTTCCATCCCCAGCACCAAAACAACAAAAAAGTTAGTAAACTGAGAGTGGGAGAATACTTCAGAAGAACAAGCTAAACATTCTACTCTTTCTAAAAGCTTTTATTATTCTGAAGTATTTATTAAACTAGTAGTGGGGGAGAGGGAAGAATATAATTCAGGGTAATTACACAATTTAGTGACTAACAATTCTAGCTGACTCTCACCTATAGGCAGGGGATACTGCAAAGCACCAGCGCTCTTTTCTATACAACAGCAAACTAGCTACACTGAAATTTAGCACTATCTGGAATAAATACTGGAACATTTTAATAGACAAGTCTCAGAAACATGGACAGTCAAGAAGGTTCCTGGGCTGGGGATGTAGCTCAGTGCCATTGTGCTGCCTGGTAAGTGCAAGGTCCTGAGTTCCATGCCTGGTACCAGGGGGGGAAAAAAAAGGTTCTGAATACAAACATCACCTAAAAGAGGCAGAATTAAGCCATGAGCATTAGGACCAACTTCCTTGGGTTCTATCTTTAAATTACACCATTTGTGTAAGTGGCTATATTGAGCTAGCCACTTCTTAAAGAGATGTGGTCCCTTTTCTCGATCTTTTTTCTCTAAAAAAATAGAAAAAGATTGCAAGTCAATGAAAGATCATCAAAGATCAACAGAAATTCAGCTCTAGTTCCACTGAAGAAAACGTCCACATTTTCATGTTTCTTTTTCTACAACTCTATCTCCTCCCAAACTATTGTTAAGCTGAGATGAAAAGCTGAGGCTTGGCCACAATAGAGGCCTGAATGGACTAAAGAAAGTCTTTCTCCCCATGTACTCATTCCTTCTGCATATCTGGCCTTAGAATCTGGATAAAACTGAACACATAATTTGGTGGTTCCTAAAAACACAGATAGCCTTTATTATAGGGTACAGAGAAATAACAAGTACCTCACAGGCCAAAAAATGTCAACGATTCTTAATAGCTGACCCAGAAAATAAAGCCTTCTAAATTCTAATTTTCCACAAAAGTACTGCATGCTTGTGATAAAGGCTGAAGACAATGAGTACTGAAGCTACCCTGTGTTTAAGATTCTTTATCTCCATTTTATCAAAACAACAAAAACAACAACAAAAAACCCCACACAACAGAATCAAGTTTTTTTTGTTTTTTGTTTTGGTGCCAGGGATCGAACTCGGGTCCTTGCGCTTGAGAATCAAGTTTAAGAATAAAATGAACTATACCATGTTGCTTTTGGCCAGAAGTCACTGTTAAAACAATACTGGCTATGTCTGGGTTTGGTGACTGAGGCAGGAAGACTGCAAGCTCAAGCTCACCCTGTACAACTTAACAACTTAGCAAGACTATGTCTCAAAATAAATTCTTTTTAAAAATGGGCTGGGAATCTGGCTCAGTGTGAAGGCCCTTGGTTCAATCCCCAATGGGGGTAGGGGGGAAGGCACTGGCTATGGTTAAAAACATCTTCAATTAGGGCTGGGGGTATAGCTCAGTGGCACCCGAGTGCAAGGTCCTGAGTTCGATCGCTGGTACTGGGGGGAAAATAAAAAATCTTCAATTCATCAAATGACTTCTAGTGTTTTTCTTAAAAAAGCAGGAAGTTGTCTTTTGCTTTTAAAATTGGTATTTTCCGAACAGAATAATTCTGTTTTCACAATGTCCTTAAATTACAACAGGCTCAGGCACACTTCCACAGCACAAGCACACACACTCCTTCACCCATTCCCGGGAGTCAATTAGCCAAAGCTTCCTCTGCTAAAACAAACAGCAAAGGGGACCATGGGGCATTATTCATTCCCTATATCCTCAGACCTCAATCTATTTCTAGCTCAAGGGAATGCCAAACTTCACCAAGAGAATATGGGAGGAAAGAGTGACCTGTGTCCAGGCTCGACCCCGCCTATGTGCAAACAAGGAAACATAATTTAACAGGAGTGCAGGAGGAGCTAATAGCCATTTTTAGTTTAGTAGTGAAAACCACTCTTGTAAAATTAACAAGCCAGGAAAATCAAGCCAGAAAAAGTGATTTTTCTTTCATTTTCTGTGATCTAAACTCTTCATTTCACCATTGTGACAAATAATGACCAGTCTGTAGCAAAAGTATTGACATATGACATAAAATTTTTTCAAGTTAGTTAAACGTCCTTGCCCATCATCAGAGAGGTATTGAGTCCTCCTCACAAAATAGAAAAACTATGTTCCTCTTCTTCACTTATACAACTTCACTTTTAACAAATTACTTTAAAACAGGGTTCATAACCTGGGCACAACTGATGCTTTGGGCTGCAAAACTGTCCCACGGTAGGACATCAATAGGACTTCTGGTCTAGACCCGCAAGATGCAATATGACCAACCTCCTCCTGGCTGCAACAACCTAAAACAAATGGCTCCAGACATGGCTAAATATTGTCTGGGGACAAAAATCCTCCTGGGTCTAGAATGGTGGCACATGTCTGTAATCCAGTACTCAGCAGCCTGAGGCAGAAGGATTACTGAGAGTTTGAGGCCAACCTGGGCTACATAATGAGTTCAAGGACAGCCTCAACTACACAGTGAGACCCTGTCTCAAAAAACCAAATCGCTCCTGGTTCTAAAGAATGAGTTTGAAGAAGGTGACAAAGTACTACATCTTCCTAAAAAAACATAGACTCCAAAGGTATTTGCTTTTCTTTGGCCTTGTCATAACATTCTAATATCTTAATAAGTGAACGACTGGAATGTAGTTGGAACATACTGGATTATCAATGTATAATAAATACATAAACCATATTGAATTTAGAAGGTACAATTACATATACAAGAAGAAATTTCCTGGTTAAGTCTATGAGTTGGGAATCACAGTAAATGACTGCGTAGCAGCCGTCAAAGTTGTGATGTAAGCACATCAGAGCATCCCCAAAGGAAGGTACTCTTCTACTAAGTCTCCAGGGCATACAAGATGACCCGGAGAGCAATGCACTGTCACCAGCTTACCTAACAAAGCAACATTCTCAGAACAGAGTACCACTGTGTAAGGTTCTGTGACAATACAGCAATATCTACCAAAGTAAGCTCTGACTCAAGCATCCTATTTGTAGTTTATTGTGAACTAGATTCAGGTGCTCATGAAAGGGCCTAAGTCCAGGTAAGTTACATGTCGTGTTCAGTGGTAACTGAGCATATGCACAACAGGGCCAAAATCAGGCTTCTAAATGCCATTCTCCACCAAAGGAGTCAGGGTTCCCTGGATCAGTGGCTGATTTGAGGGCTGAAAAACCACAAGAACATAGAGTCTCCAGTTATACCAGAAAATAGGAAGTATCAAAATAGGACTGGACATGTCACAAAAGGACACAAGAGGCAGATTGACAAGGTTCTCTTTGGCCAAGTATGAGACATTCTGAGCATCAAATAACAGCAAAGAATTATAACCCACTGAATAAAAGAGGATTCTATGGACTCATATAAATCCATATAAATGAGTAGGGAAGGGGGGAAAGGTTTTTCTCACTAGAATGTCAACCAATAAATGCAGAAGAAATGATGGAGTTGGGAAATGACCATCTGAAGCTGAGTGCAGTGGTAGGCACCTGTAGTCTCAGCTGCTCGGGAGGCTGAGGCAGGAGGATTTTGAGCATCCATTACAGATCAATCTGGGAATAGTGAGACCATCTTTAAAAAGAAACAATTTGTCAACAATCAGTAATAACTGATTCATTCAGGCAAGAATTATCAGTGAATGCTAAATTTGTTTTTTGTTTTGTTTTTTGGTACCAGGGATCAAAGTCAGGTCCTTGCGCTTGCGCAGCAGGCGGCGAAACCACTGAGCTAAATTCCCGGCCAGTGAATGCTAAATTTGATAAGAGTCAGGATAATTAAAGAGTCTTAACAAATGACACTATTAATTACGGGGTGGGGGTGGGGTTTCCACGGAAAAACCTGCCAGATACTGCCTTAACCAAGCAGTCAAAATCAACATCACTGGCAACAGGACACATCACATTTCCTGTCACATTCCTGCCAAAAACCCATGACCTGAATCTAACCATGACAACATAAACAAGTTCCAATTAAGGGGTAGTCTATAGAATAAATAATTGGTCTGTACTGTTCAAAAGCATCAAGGACAGAAGAAACAAAGAACAGAGCAGCCATTCCAGATTGAGTGAGACTAAAGAGAAATGACAGCTGAACGGAATGTGCAGCGCTGGATTAGGTCCTGGCCCAAAGGAAAAAAAAAAGTTTTTTTTTCTTTTGTTCTAAAGGACATTGGTGAAACTTGAAAAAGGCCTGTGGATTAGAAGACAGTATTGTTAACGATGTTAGTTTCCTGAATCTGAGAATTATACTGTGGTTATCAAAGAATCTTTTGTATTTAAGAAATATACACTGAAGTATTTAGGAACAAAGGGGCATTAAACCTGCAACTCACTCTCAAATGGCGCGTGTGCGCGCGCACACACACACACACAAATATATATGTATATATAAATGTTAAGTGAGGTACTCTAGTAGTGAAAAGTATAATACACATCTGTGTTCTGCCTTCATCTTTTCTCTAAGTCTGAAGATAGCTCAAAATAAAAAGATAAAAAACTAAAGCAACAAAGTATGCGCATGGCACCAGTGGCACATGCCTGTACTCCAGAAGCTAAGGCAGGTTTCAGCCCAATCTGAGTAATTTAGTGAGCCACTGTCCCAAAACGGAAAATAAAAAAGGCCTGGGGGTATAGTTCAGTGTGAGGCCTGAGTTCAATTTCCAGCATGAAAGAAAAGAAAAGAGAAGGGGAGGGGAGGGGAGGGGAGGGGAAGGAAAGGGAAAGAGAAATGGAAAGGGAAAGGGAAAGGAATGAAAGGAAAGGAAAGGAAAAGAAAGAAAGGAAAAGAAAGAAAAGAAAAGAAAAAAAAAAGAAAAGAAAAGAAAAGAAAAGAGGGGAAGAGGTTCTGAAGTCTCACTTCAAACCCTGGCTCTACCAGCTCCTGGCGGCTGTGTGACTGTTTCTTGGTCTGTAGAACAAAAGCCCCTACATGGAGGGCTGTGGGACCTTCTGATGTGCTTAGGGTACCTTTTGGCATACAATATGGGTTCAACAGACACTTACTCTTATTGGAGCACTGTTTTTCACAGCCAAAGACTGAAAAAAACCTATGTGCCCATTAACAGGGAACTGATTAAAATAAAATATGGTAGGGGGCCAGGGATTTAGCTCAGTGGTTCTGGCGGCTGCCTCGCAAGTGCAAGGTCCTGAATTTGATTCCTGGTATCCAAAAAATAAAAAAGTAAATAAATTACGGTATATCCATAATATGGAATACTATGAAACTGTATTGTTTGGGTTTTTTGTTTTCTTTTTGTTTTGAGAGAGGGTCTTGCTATATAGTGCAGGCTGGCCTTGAACTCACTATGTAGCCCAGGCTGGTCTCAAACTTGTGGCAATTCTCCTGTCTCAGTCTCCTGAGTGCTACGATTACAAGTGTGTGCCACCACACCATGCTGAAACTGTAAAAAACCAAAACAAAACAGGAATCTGTATTATGGAGAGGGAAGGAGTTATTGAATGAGAAGAGCAAGGGGCAGAATGATATGTATAATATAAAATCATTTGTGTGGAAATGACAGAAAGAGAAGTACTTGTTTGCTTATACATGTATAAAGATTCTGAATAGATAAGAAAGAAACCAAATGTATTAGAATAAAGGTACTAAAAGAGAGTTTGGGGAGGCTTTGTATTGCAAAGGACTCTATGCTTTTTGAATTTTGAAATATGTGACTATATTACCTACGCAAGAATTTTAATTATGGAATCCTCAAAAAGCAAATAAAATACTGATAGCAAAAATTAAAATTAAAAAAAAAGTGAACCCAAGCATTGTGCTACACATTTGTGATCCCAGCTACTGGGGAGGCTGAGTCAAGAGGAATACAAATTGGAGCCCAGCCTGGGTAATTCAGCAACTTGGCAAGACCTTGTCTCAAAAAATAAAAAGGGCTGGAGATGCAGCTTAGTTGGAAGCCCTGGATTCAATCCTCAACACCACAATAAAAAAAGTTAATTTAATTTAAAAAGTATAGTACTTGTTCCTTGTATATAAAAATCTCCAAATTTGAAAATGACACAACAGGAAATTAATAGGGTGAAAAAAATGAGAATGCTTATATTTCAGACTTTAGGCAGTCTGAAATAAGCCGTCTGAGGCACAACCATTCTATATTTTTTCACCTTGTTAATCTCCATTTCTGAGGCATTGGTAAGTAGATTTTTATTTGTTTTTTGCTTTTGAGACAGAGGTTCACTATGCAGTCTAGGCTGGTCTCAAACTTGCAGCGATCCTCTTGCCTCAGCCTCCTGAGGGCTGGGATTATAGACATGTGCCACCATGCCCAGGGGTAAATAGATTTTTTAAAAAATTGCCCTCCTTTGAAAACTTTAAACATACTATATCTTCCAGTACAGAATCCTTTCTTAAATCACTCAAAAGTCTATGGAAGTAAATTACTTTCGTACTGTTGGATCAATAACAGCAAGGTGGGAGGGTATTAGGTCAAAGAGCTGCATTACTCAAGTGCTCAAGGTACCTGATAGCCACAGCTTGGTACATGATCAATGGCTACTACCAACCATCTCACCAGACACACAGGCTTCTGATTTCACACCATCACACACACAACTGTTTACTAAAGTATATATGCTACCCACACTAGTTCAACCATTCTTAACAGTCTGCCAATGTCATAACCTATGAAATCTCTTTTCATAAAAGAGGAAATTAAGGCAATACCATTCAGTTATTTAAAACAAATAAGACAGCACATCCACATGTGTTAACTCATAGCCATTCACACTATTTAAAATGTTCTTCAATTTACAAATAAAAGTACTGTGTAGGGCTAATCTTACATGGCAACTCCAGGCCCGGGTGCACAGTAGCATTTTTGACCATTGGGGGAGAATGACGCCCATCATCCATGTCCAGCTCTGTGCACTGAGCTTCTCCGTGGATCACAGCCAACCCCAAACGCAGCCTCTCAGCATATGACTGAGCCCTAGGAAGAAGACAAAGACAAATGATATCACTGTTGGAAAGAAAACCCAAGCGTCACCATATCACTGTTAATCACAAGACGGGAACACCATCCAACCAGGGGTGGTGGCTATGCAGTTGAGGCTGGCCTTGAACTCCTTATGGCTGTGATCCCTGCACTCAGGAGGCGGAGGCAGGAGGACAGCAAGTTCCAGTGAGTTCAAGGGCAGCCTGAACTGCACAGCGAAACTCTGTCTCAAAAAGCAAAACAAAAACAAACAACAAAATAACCATTCAATCTTTTAGGGACACACAAAGGATTTTAAAAATCTGGCCAGAATGTAAATGGCTCAAGGGCATATAAGCTGGGTTCTTGGTTAGTATCTGACTCTAGATGATTTTGCTTCTATCCTTTGTCGAATATTTTTTGCTTTTTTTCTTCTTGATAACTACCCCCTTCCTCCAGCATTCTAATGGACATCTTTAGAAAAACTTTGTTCAAAAAGATGTCTTAAAAAACTATTCCCTAAAAACTGTTCAGAGCCCCACTGATTTCTGTTTCCTGAGACCTGGAAGGAAGAACTTTATTTCCTCTGAGGGGCAAAATGAACTAACTCAGAGCTGTGCTCAGGCCTCTGAGAGGCTGGATATAAACCTGTGGCATGGATGTGACAATGACATGGAGGAAAGCTTGAATCTTGGATTCCAAAACAGCTAATTCTGACTCCAGATGTGCCCCAAAGGGATTCTTATAAATGTCTAGCTTAGTTACCTTTTTGCAGCATCAGGAGACTTAGCTACAATGACTGCATTTCTGTAATTTGGAATCTATATTTGGAGGAAAAACAGAAAATATAGAAAGGTTATAAAAAGAAAAAATCCTGGATGCTGATGTTATACTTTTTTCCTCTTATAACAATGATCCAAACTAGCAATCAAATATGTTGAAATTTTATTCACACATTTAAATTTTTTTCATCATTTAGCATCGCTGCAAAAGTACTACTATATTATAAAAATAAAAAATAATTCAGCCAGGCATAGTGACATATGCCCGTAATCCCAGCACTCAGTAGGCTGAGGAAGGAAAATCGCTGTGAGTTCAAGGCCAGACTGAACTACATAGTGAGACTCTGTCTCAAAACGGAACACAACAAAAAATTCAAAATCAGATTTCATCTTGTTAAATAAAATTTATGGGCTGGCCACATGCCTGTATCCTAGCACTCTGGGAGGCTGAGGCAAGAGGATGGCAAGCTGAAGCCAAGCCTGGGCAACTCAGTGAGACCCTGTCTAAAAAAAAGGGCTGGAGATGAAGCTCAGAGCCAAGGTCCTGGGATCAATCCTCTATACCATCAGTCAGTCAATCGAACAATCTTAAAACCTTCATTCTAGAAAATATAAGCAAATTGCTAAGGAAATCTTAGCAATTTTTAATGTTTTTAATGTCTTTTAAAAATATGATCTTCCATGACTAAATGCTGAGTCTATCTGGCTGCTGCAGGCATTTAGGATGAAGGGAAACAAGCATCTAATGTGCCTTTCAAGACTGAAATCTGATACCAGAAAAAACTAAATAGGATCTGAGGGCAATGGGACGTGAGCTGGTGGCTCCTCACTTCTTCCTGGATGTACTGAAGCAGGAAAGGTGAGGCTCTAAGGTTGTCCACGGGGAAGCTGAAAAAGCCTTGTATTTCCTTTTGGTGAAGATCCATTGTGATAATGTGAGTTAAACCTGAAATTTTAAAACAAAAAATTACAAAGTTCTCCCCTGCAAGTTAATGGCGACAGTGGACACAAACTAGGTGTTCAACTCCTGTCTCCTACCAGAAGACTGAAGGCAGTGATATAATGAACCAGCACAGACTTTTATTGTAAAGCTTAACAACCTTAATGAAGTTAAAAAACGTGTCAAGCCTAATGCCAAGGAACCCAGGACTTTCCACAGGACCAAAGGACTCAAGGTGAGAGAAAAGTACTGTCCTCTACTATTATTATTAGCTTGATCCTGAAAAGTGAGAAAAGAAAAATGAGGTAGAAGTGAAAATATGAATATGGGGCTAATAAATACCAAAGCAATAATAGATGTCAACAATAAAAAGGCTTTTATTAAAAATGTAGGGAGAAATACTGAAGGACCATAGATATGGTAGAGAGGAATAAGAAAGCAGAAGCAAAGTAATATGTGTATCAGAAGAAAAGAAACTATTATAGCACAACCATAAGATGCTGAAGCTTTAGAATAATTTCTTTAAAGTATTCTTACAGGAAAGACATAGAAATCATACTCTTATAAGCAATAGCACTAAAAGACTACATATACAAATACCTTGGAAATTGTCAAGAGTCACTGCAAAATTTCCAGAGCAAAGAACCAGTATTTTTAATAACCATCAAACAAAAAAAGCTCAATAATTGTAAGATTACAATTGTAAGAAATCAATTACATTTGATTTACAGGACAGAAATTATGCCACTGCTACATAAATAGAATAAAAACAATGAAAATGAGCTGCCTACAAAAAGGCCAAAGGGCCAAAAGAAAAAGGCCAAAGGGATAGAGGGAGGAGGAAGAGTATATAAACTGAAGAAGTAGTAAAAGGAGGAGCACGGGGTTTAGCTCAGTGGTTCCGCTACCTGCCTCCCAAGTGCAAGGTCCTGAGTTCAATCCCTGGTACGCCCCCCAAAAAAAGAAGTAGTAAAAGGAAAATCCAGTTTTAATGCTATGAACATAAAAAAGAATGTAGCTAAGGCAAACACATATGAAAGATCACACAAGAATGGCAAGCCTGAGAGTTAAAATTTGATAACTAGGTGAAATTAAAAAGTGAAATAATGACTTTAAAAAGCGTGATTTAGGAGAAAACAATGAAATACTATCATTCTAAAAACAAAGAAAAAACACAGTAAAAATTATAATATATACATATTCTAACCAAACTATGCAAAAGAAAATAGATTAGAAACAGTGAGCAATGAACAGTAAAGAAACAGGTCCCAAACTAGATACCTGAGGTAAAAACTAATCTCAAACAGGGAAGGGTCCAAAATTCTAGTGCTGAAAACTCCAGGGTCTCTGTGCACTCACCTGCCTTTGCCAGCATGGATGCCAGGAGCTTGCACACAATGGAGCCCCTCTTTCTCATCTTGCTTTGCTTGCTATAGGGGAAATAGGGGATGACGCCAATGATGTTCCTGGCACAAGAAGTCTTCAGTGCATAAGCCATAATCAGTAGCTCCATCACAGCTGTATTCACATCTCTGGAACAGTTAACATTTCCTTTTCTGAGTGAATTAATGTATTAACTCTTAAAAAGGATTTCAACTTCAGCAATGTAACACAGGCTGCCAAGATGGATGTTAAAGACATTCTACTATCAAGTCAGCTTAGGATAACACCTCATGAATGCAGTGGAGAGCTCTTCTTTTTAGCTGGGTGCATCACTTTTCATCTGTGGTTACTCAAACCCACAGGACACTTAACCCTTGCTCATCTGTGTCAGTGATGCAGTCACTTGTAATAGCATACAAAAGCTGCTGGTGACTGGTTACCTGATACTTGCTAGCATCCTCCCAGAATTCAGACTCAGGCCAGCATGAATGCCATGGGAAATCAATCTGTCATCTACTTAGCTGTCATTAACAGAATGACATGATCCGGCACCTGCCTTGCAAGAGCAAGGTCCCAAGTTCCATCACCAGTACCAAAAAAAAAAAGAAGGAACAGAATGACATCTCTTGTGGGAGATGGAAGATGAGGAAGTTTTGGAACTTTTCAAAAACTTCTCCTGTCCCTTCTTGCTGAGACAGATTCCTGACAAACATTATGCACAGAGAGAAGGAAGTATGATCCTGAAAGGTACATGAAGGAAAGGCAAGATTCAATGGTAATGGATGTGGGGCTGCTGCTCTTTGCCAAGGCTGGTCAACCCGAGATGGGCTCTTTTCTTCTGCAGGTGAGGGTTGTGAAGCCCTTTAGGACACTCTTCCTACAACTACCTGTACTGCAGCCTCTTCTGGCTCCACCTGGGATTTTCCATGAGTCCTCAAACACCTCTTCTCTGGGGCAAGGAATGGGTCTTGCTTCAACAAATCAGTGGGTCCTACCATGGGCACAGCAGGTTCTGCAGGTGCCATTCCTGAACTGACACATAGGAGTAAGGTTGCCCTCATTATGGCAAAGTGGGAACCCACCATTGACCCAGAGGAGACCTAATACATGTTTGGAGCAGAAGTGGCAAGCTTTTTTAACTTGCAAGACAAGCAGGCTATTTCCTTCCAGGTCTTCCAATTTATGTTTCCCCCAATCTCAAAGGCAGTTTATCCAGGAGTGAGCAACTGCAAGGACTCTGACAATGTTTTCCATTTCCACATTCAACTCACAGAATTTCCAAGCTCACCTCTATTTGTATTTGTTTTCACTATTGCAGGAGTCTATGATTAGAAAACAAACAAACAGGGCCGGGGATTTAGCTCAATGGTTTCGCTGCCTGCTGCGCAAGCACAAGGACCTGAGTTCGATCCCCAGTACCAAAAAAATCAAAACCAAAACCAACAAACAAACATAAAAACACCTTTCCCAGAGGACAGGTTGATTCAGGGCTCAACCTCAAGACTACAAAGACATTCCTTTTGGGGTACTGGTAAGTTCCACTCTTTTCCAGTTACCATTTCTTTCCTCTGAAATAAACTAGACCATCTTCCTCCTTCATATCCCAAACTGATAATGTCCAAGCCTGGAATCAGAAGACACATGGTCTTTTGGCATAATGAGGACAAAACAATTATCAAACATTTCCAAGGTACTTGAGAATTCATAACACTCTGTCTGTTCTAGTTCAATCATCCATCCAACAAATATTTATTGAGCAACAGGGGTCGAGCACTGGGGGGTTAAAATAGCAAACAAGGGAGAAGCCATCTCAGGGGAAGGCCAGAGACATAGTTTGGATGAGTCTCTTTTGTTTAATTTATTAAAATACTGAGTTTATTTCACATGTATATCTTAATCTCTCTACCATCTCCATATCTGACCACCACTACTACTATGTCCTATCATAACATTCCATATATATTTATAACCAAGCAAAAGGTGGAGTTTCATCTTTAAAAACTAAATAGGCATTCTGGACAACACATTCTTAGCAACAGAACCTGGACAATATTTATCAAATACAGTCTGAAAAGTTCTCACTTTCCATTATTAAAAGTACAGGCAAATATCAACTGTTACAGAAACAAAAAAAGAAAATTTTAAACTGTGTTTTCTTAAAGAGACTTCCTCCACTGCCAAGATCTTGACTGATGAACTTGGGTTCCACTTTGGGAAGACAACCACCTTTTTCTATACTTGCTTGCATTTTTGCTTTAATGGCTTCTACAAAACTAGGTCCGTTGGGTGTTTTAGGAATTTTTTTCCTGTTTTTTGAAGGCTTTTTGGCCTTTTGATCTTGGTGTTGGTTTTGAGTCTTTTCTATTCTGGTTTGATTTTTGTGTATTTCTGGCTGGACTATCTTGTATATATCTTCACTGGAGCTTTCTCTTCAGTTTCTTCGTCATCAAATCATCTTCTTCATTGTGGTCATCATCATCATCTTCAGCAGCTAATTTTACTTTTTTTCTCCTCTGGAACCTAGCTATCACTTCTGGAGGCAGATCACTTTCCAGATATACTTAAGAGTTTTTCATCCTCTTCCTCTTCTGACTGCATCTACCTCCACAGCTACTAGTGGACACACACTCCATCCTTAAGACCACAGGTGGTCTAATTTCAAAGTCCCCAAGGGAAACTGTTGGCAGTACAGACATTTTCAAAGTTGCCAGTGTTACTTCAGTTGGACTCCCTTCGTAATTCATTGCCTCTGCTTTGACAATGTGAAATTCAACCTTTCCACTAGCCCCTAAACTGAGTGTTCTTAATGATAACTGGTACTCATTTTCAGCATTATCCACCTTAAAGTGATAATTTTTGTCAGTCTTTTTTTTTTTTTTGGTACCAGGGATCAAACTCAGGTCCTTGCGCTTGTGCAGCAGGTGGCGAAACCACTGAGCTAAATCCCAGGCCCTGTCAGTCTTTAGTTACAACCCAAAAAGACAGTTCTGGGGCCTCAGGTGGCTCATGTCTTATCAAAACTCATGTCCCACGGGGTAGTGACACACACTTAGGTGGGAGAGAATGCAGAGTTAAATGACTACTGCTCTAGAGAACAGACACCCAGGACAGAATCACACCAGGGAACAGCACGAATCACTCTGTGCACCAAGGAGTACACTTGACTCAGAAGGAGTGTTCCTCCCAAAGCTTATTTTTTATTTCACAGAGAAGACTTTAAAAAGTGAGATGATCCAAATCAATGCCTTGTAAGCTCCTGAATGTTAAGCTGGAAGCCGGCATGGCCTGCAGAAAATGATATGTATACAAATAAAATATATATAAATAAATGTAAATAAAATATATATAAAATACATATAAAATCCTTGGAGTCCACACTTACAATCAACACCGGATATCAAATACACTAGAGCCAAAGTCCTCCTCCACGGTAGGCTGCTTGTCAACTTTGGCTTGATCTTGTGGTCCTCCTGTCTTAACCTACTTATGTGATACTGTGTGGTCCTACACAGCTCTACTACACTGGATGTGGCCTCTTACCAGACCTCAGTGTCGACAACAGAACTCAAGCTGAAGTTAATTTAGTAGATTCTGCAAGAGCAGCTATCCAGATAATTAGCAGGTTTTTAGCTAGCATTGTCATGGCATTTATAATACACAACTGCCTGCTGTCATCAGGAATGAGGAGCCCACCACAAAGCAGGTCCAAAAGTAAGACCGTAACATAACAAGTAATTTTCGAGGGGACTGATTTCAGGTTTTCTTTTCATTAATTCCAATTTCTTTCATGAGGATTTATTTTCTAATTTTTTTCTCTTCCTGCCCAAAGCCAAGGAAATCCTCCTCAGCCCCTGCTTCCTATTGGTCAGGAAGGTGATAAAGGGGCCTCTGTCACACTGGCTTTATCCATTTACTGAGAGATTAAACTGGCCAAATTGGACACAGACAGTTACTCTGGGCTGGCAGGCTGAGGAGAAATTGGCTGGAAGCTTCTGCTTTATCTGCTCCCTAAGAATGTTCCATGCACATCCAGGCCAGTTCTTGTAGTCTTTGTATCTAAGTAGGACAATCTTAACTATTTTACCAACAGTTCTCTTTTTTTTACCCTAGAATAATCACAACTTATATAAAATAGCTCTGACTGCTCTATCATTTTAGATAGGCACAAACTCGTATGTATTGAGGAAACAGACACAGTGTACACATTAATTAAACTGCTCCAGACTGCAAAAAACAGCACCATAGATGGAAGAAATGGGAACATAGGAATGGGGTAGGACTGTCTGCAGCAAATAAGCTATAAATGGTACTTTAATGTCTTCTTTACACCAACATGCTAGTACTTGTATATAAACATGAAAACTGTCCTTCAAAAAAATACTTTGTCAGTTCATTATTGTATTTAGTTCCACTGCTCCATAGATTTGGAATGTTTTTGAGTAGTACATACAGTTCAACTACCATACTACACTTGATCTTAGCCAAAAGGCTGAGAAGCGATGCTCAACTACCATACTATACCAGCATTATCACTTCATTCAAAATGGCTTGCCATTTCCAAAAATTCAATCCATCCTCAACAACCAAAAACTTACTATTATCAAAAGAATTATGCTCCCATGCTGAAAGTGATTTTAGGAGTTCTAAAGCTATTTTGAACAACAGCAGCACCAAAAGAAAGAAATGAGGTGAAAAAAGAGAAAGGGATGAGGGCTCAGAATGAGGGCTCTGAAGGCAACCTTATCAACCCCCTGCTCTCCAGCTCACACACTCCTCAGTCATTAGTGTCATCCACACTGTGTGGAGTAACAAAACAGGATCTCTGGCTCAGGAATGTTTCCTAAATACGAGCAACAGAACAGCTGCTCACATGCCAGCACAAGGAGAGCTAAGCCTAGGGCTCACTCCCCCCAGCTTTTCCTGGAGAAGAGCGGAAAGTCAAGGCTAAAACTCCAGGTCCCAATGCAGTTGATGAGCAGTGTCAATCAGATTTCCTAAGCAATTCTCCCCATGACCCACAGCCTTTGCTAACACGAAGTCAGGCAGGGTAGGAAGAGACTCTGCCAACCAATTCCACCTTTGGACTTAGACCTCCCTATTTCATGGAGGATTAATGGCAAAGCTGGTCTACACCTGTGGCTGAAAAGCTGACTTTCTCTATTCTACCCTTTAAGAAAGGGTTCTTAGCTGGGCCTGGTGGTGCACACCTGTTAATCCCAACACTCAGGAGGCTGAGGCAGAAGGACTGCGGTGAGGCTAGCCGGGGCTACATAGTGAGACTCAGCCTCAAACAAACAAACAAACAAACAACCCCCCCCACACACACACAAGGTTCTCAGGCCAACATGGCCAAGCCAAGGGCCTAGGGTCACTTTCAGGTCTTTTCTAGTTAGGTGCCATTGGAGAGGGGACCTGAATGAACCAAGAGAACCAGCTACAGGAACTAGGCCAACAGGTATAAAGGATAACATTTGTGGATGGGCTGCTACTAACTTTCTCAAAAGTAGTCAGTTTACGGGCTGGGGATTTAGCTCAGTGGTTTCACTGCCTGCTGTGCAAGCCCAAGGACCCAAGTTCGATCCCCAGTACCAAAAAAAGAGAAAAAAAGCAGTCAGTTTGTTTTTTTTTGTACCGGGGATGGAACTCAGGTCCTTGCGCTTGCAGGCCAGGTGGTGGAACCACTGAGCTGAATCCCCGGGCCAAAAGTAGTGAGTTTAGAAAGATCTGCTGTCCAGTGGGGACTAGCAGTTTTGTAAGGGAGCTAAAATAGACAGATTCAACATTCTATAAATGGTGACACACAAAAGGTCTCGTGCCCTGCCTGTTGGTGAAGGATTTCTCACCTTTACCCTCCATTCCTATTTCCAGATTTATGTATCCTAAATAAAAATGTAAAGAAGCTGGACACGGTGGTGCACACCTGTAGTCCCAGCACTCAGGTGGCTGAGGCAGGAGGATTACTGCAAGTTCAAGGCCAGCCTGGGCTATATAATGAGTTCAAGGGCAGCCTGTACCACATAGCGACTCTGTCAAAAAAGAAAAAAAAGAAAAAAAAACTACATCTGTATCTACATCTATAGCTATCTATCAATACCTACATAAAATACATACTCAATACGATATTTCTTCCAAAAGAGATTGCACAGTATCAATATAGTCCAATCATAAGTAATAAATAGTACAAGTCACTGAGTGTGCAGCAAACAGCTTTGTCAGGCTGGGTCTGTCAGACCTGGAAATGTGCAACAGCAGTGCCAAGTGCTTCCCAAATTCAAGGTACTAAGGTCAATGCTATGAAAGAGGAAAAACAAAAGCCATGCAGAATCCACTTTCTTGTGGATTCATATGCAAGCCTCTCAGGTCTTCTTATTTCTAAGATGCATTTTAAAACCACTGAGCAGAAAGACTCCAGTCACTACAAGAGGCAAACAATACAAAACTAAATTTTCTGGAGGAAATGCAACAGACATGTCTAGCAATACTACACATATTGCAAGTGCAATTGTATCTATCAATACTACAACGCATGGAACCTCACGCCCAGCAATTCCATTTACTGGAATCTTCCTACAGATACACTGGAAACATGGGCAAAATATTATACATACAAGGATGTTCACTGCAGCACCACTGTGTTAGCCCAAGTCTGGAAATAAACTGGGGAACATCTCTGCAATACATCAGACAGCAGCAAGGAACAGATGGTGAGAACAGCTGGGCATTGTTACCCATGCCTGTAATCCCAGGGTGGGGGAGGCAGAGAACTGCTGTGAGTTCAAGGCCAGCCTGAACTACACAGCAAAACCCTGTCTCAAAAGAAAAAAAAAGACAAGAACATTGCCTCACCCCTGTAGCACCCCTTCCTAAGACCCACAACCTGAATCTCATCCAGAAATATCTGACACATCCAGGTTAAGGGATTTTGACAAAATGTAACAAAATGTTAGCCTTCAAAAAACAGCCTTCTGGGCTGGGGATTTAGCTCAGCGGTTCCACTGCCTGCCTCACAAGCAGAAGGACCCGAGTTCGATCCCTGGTACCAAAAAAACCCAAAAAACAAAACAGCCTTCAAAAGTGTCAAAGCTTTCAAAGTCAAGGAAAGATAAGAACTGCTGCAGACTGCAGACTGGAAGAATAAACAGCTGCAGGGCTGAATTAGCTCCTTCTGCTTGAAATGCTGCTATGGCAATGGGCAGAACAGGCACGGTGGCACATACCTGTAATCCCAGCACTCTGGGAGGCTGAGGCACAAAAATTACAAGTTTAAACCCAGGCTAGGCAACTCAGCGATGTAGCAAGACCCTGTCACAAAATAAAAAAAGAACTAAGGATGTAACTCAAGGCAAAGGCCTTGAGTTCAATCCCAGTACCACACAAAAAAATCCAAAAAACAACTGTCTTTGATGGGTGTGAACCAGGAGCAGTTAGGCAGTATGCTTAATAATAACAAGCTTTAAAAAAATAAAAATAAAAATAAATAAAATAATAACAAGTTTTTCAGCAGAGCTGGGCTGGCTTTGGTTCAGCAGATGCAGAAGTAAGATATTTTGCCCTAGAGAGCCTTAAAGCCTGGAAAGATGGGCAAGTAAACCAGTAACAGTACAACAGTACAAACAAGGTAGAATTCCAGAAACTAGAACTGTACTTTATAAAGTAGTTTAACACAGACACAAATTTATAATTTAAAAACCTTGAATGGTCCACGTGAAAAGATAATTATATTATTAAGGTTTTTAGAAGAAAAGGGGTACATAAAACAGTGCTAATTCTTACCGGGGTATTGTCTGTATAATGAAAATATCTTGGCCACGAACAGATTCTTTTATTTCAACTCTTGTTTCTGAAAAACAAAAAAAAAGTTCTGAAGTTTTAAGAAAAGCACTTCTGGGCTGGGGATTTAGCTCAGTGGTGCTGTGCCTGCCTCACAAGAGCAAGGTCCTGAGTTCAATCCATGGCGGTGGTGGTCGGAGCACTTCATAATGCTTCAAGTAAACCTGAGCCTACAACAACATTTTACTTTATACAGCAAAATAAATTCTTAATAATTTCAGAATAACAAATTTAGAGACATATATTATGCACACACACACATATGTATGTATATACCACGCTAGAAAATAAGTAAAAAATAGAAAATATAGCCAGGTGTGTTGGTGCATGCCTACAACCCCAGCACTTGGGAGGCTGAGGCAGGAGGATCGCTGCAAGTCTGAGGACAGCCTAGGCTACACAGTGAGTTCAAGGCCAGCCTGGACTACATAGTGAACCCTCTTTCAAAAAACAAAGATAGGGGCCGGGGATTTAGCTCAGTGGTTCTGCTGCCTGCTGCGCAAGTGCAAGGACCCGAGTTCAATTCCCAGTACCAAAAAAACCCCCCCAAAAACAAAAAAACAAAGATATAACTAACCAACAAGTCCACATAAAGTCTCAGGGTTTGAAAAAACCCAAAAACTCCACCATCAAAATAAAGACATGAACAATATACTTAGTAAAATGTTTGTACAGTACAAGCCAAATAGTAACATGTTTAATAAAGTAGTCTATGGAGATATTTCAAACTCTAAAAAGCTCCAAAGTTTTTTGGTCCCAAGCATTTCAGAAAAAGGATACTCAGTCTGTAGTAAGGAAGTACTAATAAGTCAAAAATAGTTGAATTTTATAAACATTCTGGTGGAAGCTGGATGTAGTGGCACACACCTGTAATCCCAGGATGAAGCAGGAGGATCACAAGTTTCAGTCTAGCCTGAGCAACTTAGCAATATTGTCCCAAAGTAAAAAAAATGAAGAAAGGCTGGTGATGCAGCTTAGTGTGAAGGCCAAGAATTCAACCCCCAGTCCTGCCAAAAAAGAAAAGAAATATTCTGGTGGAGGTGAGTAGAATGGACTTAGAGCTGTTAGCAATGGAGATGGGAAGCCTGTTGGAAGCCAAGCCTTCAGAGAGATAACAAGGCCTAAAGCAATAATGGAAAGGCAGGGAAAGGGAACTCCATTCCCTACCTTCTCCCCAAGTGCTTCAACTCAGAAGATCCTCAAACATATAACCAGGAATTAAACTGGAGATTGCTAAAGAGAGAACTTCATCTATCTACATTCAACTTCAGATTTTAGATACTAAAATCTCCTGTTTTCTCCAGGCAGTAAGGTTTTTGCTTTGTTTTGACACAAAATAAGACACTATATAGTTCAGGTTAGCCTTGAATTCACTATGTAGCCCAGGCTGACATCAAACTCACAAGCCTCCTGCCCCAGCCTCCCAAGTGCTGGCATTTCAGGCGTGTGCCTGGCTAAAGTTTTCAAGTCACCAAGTAAAACGCTGCTAAGTGTGGGGCTGGGGATTTAGCTCAGTGGCACCATGCCTGCCCTGCAAGCGCAAGGTCCTGAGTTCGATCCCCGGTACCAAAAAAAAGGCTGCTAAGTGTGGAAGCTGGGTGAAGGAACTTGTGGTTAATTAAAACACATGTGACTTACACATATCTGAGAATGTGTGCTTCCCATTCAACTACCCTGTAAACTACCTTTTTCTTCTATTGAGCTTTACTTTTTTAGATCTCACACATCACCAAGCCTTAATAATTAATCTCTGCAAACTCCTTATAGGCAGTTGTATCTTAGAAAGAGAAAGGGAATCATAGAATCAGGTACCTAGGCTTCCAACTTTGCAAAAATAATTCAAAATGATTCTATATCACTTTGCCTTTGCAATGAATAGAAACACTATAATCTGAAGTATGTGGTCCAGTAGGAGGTTTATGATACATTTGTAGGACACTAGCCATCAGCAAAGTACCTTCAAGCATTCTCAGTTACCGTTCTCAGTTAACATGTGTTCTTCACACAACCCAGAGGGAAGCAAAATGGGTTATCAACTCAGTGAGTGTCCAGAAGAAAAAAAAAGGTAAAGATGGAGAATTTAAAGAAGTCTTCTTTTGGGGGTGCTCTACCACTGAGCCACGTCCTCAGATTTTTTTTGAGGGGGGCTATACTGGGAACTGAACCGAAGCCTTCACACTGAGCTGTATCCCCAGCACTTTAAAAAAATTTTTTGAGACAGTCTTGCTAAATTGCCCGGGCTGGGCTCAAACTGACAATCCTCCTGCCTCAGCCCCTCTTTGTACTTGGATTACAGATGTGTGCCACCACACCCAGTTTAAAGAGGTCGTTTCAAGGGTCTGGGATTTAGCTCAGTGGCACCCCCACCTGCCTTGCAAGTGGAAGGTCCAGAGTTCAACTCCAGTGTCAAAAAAAAAAGGTCATTTCAATAAGTATCAGATTGCTCTTGATGTCATTTGATGACGTTCTAAGACAGGTAAATGTAAGAAGTATTTATCAAATATAAACCAACGTAGAATTATATATATATACACACACACAGACACACACAGACACACACACACACATCCCTTTTCATTCTAAAACAACAGGATTTTTTCATCATTGTAGAAAAGAAAGGCAACATCAGAAGAGAACAGGAGGTCAGGATCTGGGGAAGTACATAACAAATACGCACACCTTCAATGTCAAACATAAAATATTTCTGTCTGAACTATAAAGTGAGAACCTGTCTCATAAAACCACAATGAGGGTGGGGGGGAAGCTTCTGTGTTTTGTTTTGTTTTTTGGTACCGGGGATCAAACTTGGGACCTTCCGTTTGTGAGGCAGGCAGCCGGAACCACTGAGCTACATCCCCAGCCCCTGAAGTTTCTGTGTTAAACGTGAATAACAGTTGCCTCCCCCGCCACTTTGTTTTTGGCAGTACCAAAGATTGAAACTACAGGTTTATCCCCAGCCCTCTTTATTTCTGTATTCTGACACAAGGTCTTACTAAGTCACTAAATTGTCCAGGTGGGACTTGAATTTGTGCTCCTTTTTCCTAAGCCTGCCAGAGTGCTAGGATTACAGGCTTGTACCACCAGCTTTACTATCTGCCTTGTAAAAACATGCCACCTGATTAAACAGTGTAGGGAAGAAAGGATTTTTAAGAAACAACTTACCACTTATTCCACTTTTGAATGCTCCCTACTCATCCAGAGTAGCTGCCTGCCTCTCTTGTCCCTCGTCCCCCCACCTTTGAATAAACTGTCTTTTATATTAAAAAAAAAAACAACAAACTTACCTCCATTGGTCTCTTGGTATACAACAGACTTCCCCAAATCAGCACCAAGACGCCTAAAGGGAAAAAAAGAAAATTAAGGTGTTTTAAAATCCAGTTCATATGATATGTTTTAACAAAAAGACTCAAAATAACTAGACTGTAGATCAGAGCTGCTGAGGTTGTAGCTGACTGGTAAAGCCCTTGCCCAGCATGTGCAAGGCCCTAGGTTCAACCTCCACTGCTGCAAAAAAAAAACCAAAAAATAATAAAAACAAACAAATTATCAAAAATTACCTAGATGTTTTCGGACATGGTGGCCCACGCCTGTAATCCTAGCAGGATTCAGGAGGATCAAGGCCAGCCTGGGCTACATAGTGAGTTCAAGACCAGCTTCAGCTATGCAGTGAGACCCTGTCCTGTCTCAAAACAAAACAAAAAGAAAGTCTAATTCATGCCTGGTATGGTGGCGCATACCTGTGATCCCAGTAATTTGAGAGGTTGAGGCAGGAGGATTACAAATTGGAGACTTGCCTAGCCAATATAGTGAGACCCTGTCTCAAAATTTTAAAAAAAGATTGGGGATATATAGTTTAGTGGTTGAGTGCTTGCCTAGCATGCACTAAGCTGGGTTTAATCCTCAGTCCTGCAAAAATAAATACACTATATTATGTTAAAGAACAATGGTTTTTAAAGTCTCTATCATGCCAGGCCTGGTGGTGCACTCCTGTGACCCCAGCACTAGCAAGGATCACTGTGGGTTTGAGGCCAGCCTGGGCTACATAGTGAGTTCAAGGTGAGTTTGAACTGCATTTTGAGAGCAAAAAACAAACAAAAAATCAGCACTACCATTTTACAAGCAAAATGATATGATATACAAGTAGAATCTATTTAAAAATACTCCAGCCAGGTATATATATAGAATGGAATATTATTATGCTTAAAAGGAATGAAATTCTAGTGATGTATGTGAACTTTAAAAAAATTATTCTAAGTAAAATAAGCCAGACACACGGATAAAAACAACCATTGTATGATTTCACTTATAGGAACTATCTAAAGACAAATTCAGAAACAAAGTAGAAAAGAAGTTATTATCAGAGGCTGGGAGAAGGGGACAATGAGGAGTTCATACCATGAGTATACAGAGCTATAGTTTAGAATTATGAAAATGTTGTGGAGATGGATGGGATGGTGGTGATAGTTGTACAACACTGTGAATGTGAATGAATTGTACACTTAAAATCTGTTAAAATGGTAAATTTTATGTTATGGATTTTTTTTTTTTTGGTACCGGGGATCAAAGTCTGGTCCTTGAGCTTTCAAGCCAGGCAGTGGAACCACTGAGCTAAATCCCAGGCCCTTGGCTTTTTTTTTGAGACAGGGTGGGCCATCACACCCTGTGTGCTATGAATATTTTATCAACATTTTTTTTTTCGGTTGGGGTCTTTTTTTTTTCTTTTTTGGTACCCGGGATCGAACTCGGGACCTTGCGCCTGTGAGACAGGTAGCAGAACCACTGAGTTAAATCCCTGGCCCTTTATCAACATTTTTAATACTCTACCCAAACAAAAAGAGTACAAGATAGGTAGAGCAATGAAAAAAGATTAGCAAAAAACTCAACGTAGAAACTGGATGAAAGACACATATGGATTAAGAATGACATACATGTAGCTGGGCTTGGTGGTGCATGTCTGTTATCCTAGCACTTGGGAGGGAGAGGCAGGAGGATCACCAAGAAAGGCCAGCCTGGGCTACATAGTGAGCTCAAGGCCAGGCTGACTACATAGTGAGACCCCGTTTCAAAAAGCACCCCTCAAAAACCCACACATGTGGCTGGATGTGGTGGCAATGCCTATAATCTCAGCTGAGGCAGGATTACCAGTTCAAGGCCAAGGTAGGCCACAAAGTAAAACACTGTCTCAAAATGGCAGTAAAACCTCATATTTAATTTATACATATATATATATGTCTTCGAAATGTAACGTGCATCTTTTACTGATTAAAGTGCATAATCAAAAAAGTCTGAAGATCTGTTTTTGAAGTTCAGTCTGAAAAGAATCAGAAATCGTAATGTCAAGGGTCATTCACTCTGGTGATTTTCAAACCTTGCTTAGTAGTAAAACCTTTTTTTTTTTCCCAAATAAAATGTTGCTGAGGGGTTGGGGTGCAGCTCAGTGGTAGAGTGTTTGCTCAGCATGTACAAAGCCCTGGGGTCAACCCCCAGCACAGCCAAAATTAAAGTACACACTCTCAGACCCACCCACATTTTACCAGAAACTCAATATATGAAACAGATCAAGGAAGTATTTACAAACATTTATCATTTACAGTAACTTCAAACCTTTTGAATAGGGCAGGAAAGACTCTAAGAAAAAAACAACAAAAAAGCAAAAACTACTTACTATTTCCTTCAGTTTTCTAGAGTCATGGTCATGTGTGGTAAATCTGATCCAATATAAACAAGTACCAACGTCATATTTAAAGACAGTATTTTAAAAACAAAGTATTTTAATTTGCCTCAATAAGAAAGCAAATAATCACGGGGAGAAACAGAAACTAGGTAGTAGATTGCAAAAGTATCATTGTTTTACTCTTCTAATCTTACTTAAAACTCCAACTGAAAACAAGCATAGCTGAAAAAATTTTAACTAGTTTCCCATTTCTACATTACCATCTAGAATTTTAAATGTTCCTGCAGTTAGCTGGGCGTGGTGGTGCATACCTGTAACCCCAGCACCTGGGAGGCTGAGGCAGGAGGCGCACCATGGTAAGTTCAAAGCCAGCCTGAACTACACAGCAAAAGACTCTCTCAAAATAATTTCCTGCAATTATTTACCAACCCTGAAAATTCATGGAGAAATCAAATGTAACTTCTGAGAATATGAAAATGACTTTGTTAAAAGACAAACTATTCATTGTTTTATATTTCTAGGAAGTTTATTTGCAAAAGAGTGCACAAGGCGCTTCTCAGCAGTAGGACTCTAGGTTTCTCCAAAAGAGGCACTAGAAAAAAAAGGCCACTTAGTAAACAGTGCCACTATGAGCCCTCGTTCTGCTGGGTGCTTGAACTTCACTATCTGTTAGGCGCACAATGTCCCCTTAAACAGAATCATGCCCATTTTACAAAGGAAGTTCAAGAAAATCAAGTCTTGGGAAGTGAAGGGGAAATAAGAAAATTAAGATGTGTCCCCTGCATGTCCCCACTCCTCCTGATGAATGTAATCACTACGTACTGCAAATATGGACTAATAAAAAGAAAATCAAGACTTGCCTGATGTCGTGGAGCTGTTATCTGGCAAGCCTGACAAGGGATCCCAGAGCTCTCCGACCCCAAAGGCCACCTCAGACCCAAAAGACTGGGAAGGGCTGATCCAACCTCAAGCTGCCTTGCACACCACAGGTGGCCTATAACTGCCCTCATCCCGACCCTAGGAGCTCTTCCGCCTCGCCCTGCCCTGCCCTCCCCGCACCTTGGTCTGTGGTGGGATCCGCCGCGTCACAGCTACCTTCGGCCCTCTTATTAGGAGACCGAGGTCAACTCCAACCGTGGGGAAGGGGCCGAACCCCCCCTCCAAGGGTTAGGAAGGCTCCCACCCGCTTGGGATGGGAGTGGGGGGGACAGCCCAAGGAACTGAGAGGGCCACTAATCCACCAAGAGTCGGCTCACAGCTTCTCAGCCGCAAAACCGGGGGAAGGGGGTGGCTCCCGTCCCCTCCAAGTCTGTCCAGCTCTGCAACGGCACGATTCTCCCCCGCCCCCAGGGGAGGTGGCCCGCAGCTACCCCTAGGCCACGGTGCGGACGGTGGGGGTGGGGGCGGTCCAGGGGGGCCCCGGGGTGAAGGGGGCGTCCCCGGGCCTCAAGCCGCCGCTTACTCGGTGATGCGCTTGGCCAGCTCCGTGCAGGCGGCCGTGGAGTTGGCCGAGAAAACACGGTAGCCAGTGCGAGCGGCGTTCATGGCTGGCGGGGCTGCGGGATGGGCTCGCGGGGCGCGGAAGGCCGAGTATGGGGTCAGCGGGGGCAGCAGGAGCAGCTTCTTGGGCATCGTCCGGCCCGAAGCGCGGTTACAGTCGTCCGCCAGGAGCCGGACCCGGGAGCGGCTCTGAACGAGGTGACCGCGAGGCCAGGCGTTAGGCTAGGAGAGCCGCTGGGAAACACACGCAAGGAGATAAGGAGCGCAAGAACCCAGCCCTTCGCGTCCCAGAACCACTAAGTGCCTAGGCTCCGTCCACAGCGCCACACACCTCAACCACCTCAGAGCCCGACTGACTCGAGGCCGCGCCCCCTCCTGGCGTCCGAGGGAAGGGGGCTAGAGCGCCCGAAAAGCCGCCATCTCAGGTGAGGGCAGGGAGGTGTGCAACATTTCAGATGTTGTTCTTTCTACAGAGGCATCGGAAATTCTCTCCGTCATTTGCTTCTGTCGCTCCCAGAGGACCTCGTTTGTTCTGATGCTGTGAGCGGTGCATCCCAGCTTGACAGTGGTCTCAGCCGTCTTCAACTTCTCTGCCAGGATCCAAAATGTCCTACCACTGAGGAAGTAGACGATCTAGCTTCGCATCTCTATGATTACACTGCGCGGGCGCCTTCCGAGGCACATGCGCCTAGCTGGGATTTAGTTGAAAAGTGGAAGGCGGGGTTATTTCCAGTTTGTTGCCTGCAAATCGGGAATGTCCTAAAATTGAGCTATTCCTGAGCCTCATTGTTAAGGCTTTCCCCATGTTGCGGCCTGGTATCACTATGTAAAGCAAGATTCCCTGAACGTGTCACAGTCTTTGCCCTCACAGTTACTTGAAGTACCTCTTCAACTATTCCATATCCTCTGTTCCCTCAAAGACCCACTTGTGGGGTCGCATGTAATCATAGCAAACCACCCTGACTGCTTCACAGTGGCATGTGCGGAAGTTTGTATTTTTATTTACTTTGTGAACATCTATTTCTACTCTAGGATTCAAGAATTATAGACAACTAAGGTAAAACTATAGGCAGTTAGGTCTGGGCCTTAGTGCAAAAGATAACACATTACAGCTGTGACTAGAGATGCATCTGTTGGAGACCAGGCCTCAAGATAAAGACTAAATTGATACAGGGATAATATAGAAGATGAAATAGGATCTCTGAATGATATGATATAATTCCTAACCTGTTAGATGTATGATACACAGAGTTCGTGTTCTCTAAAATCAAAGAATGAATTCTAGGAACAACAGAGGTGAAGAGTAGAAAATAATTATTTTGTACTGGGGATTGAACTCGGGACCCTGTACTTGTGAGACAGGCAACGGAACCACTGAGCTAAATCCCCAGCCTGGAAATAATTATTGAGAGGATAGCTCTTCAGTGGCAGGAGGGGTCCCGAACCCTTGAACCTGAGAACCTGAGAATCCTGCTTCTCAGAGGAAGTTTTATAGAGCAAAAAACCACGGGGTACCACGTGGGTTAAAGCTATGAACAGCCAGTAAGATTACAAGTATAGTCGCTTAGGTAATAGTGACCCAATGGGGGAACAAGGCACTTAACAAGTGTGCATGGAAAGAACAAAGACTTTTTCTAAGAAATGATGGGTCTAGAGGTCTTGCTCACCCACCAAGGTGACTGATGTTTATCTGTACTTTATTAGGCCAGGTGTTACCACTTATCTTGTCCTTTGGGGAAGTATGCAGGCCTGGTCATTTCATCTTTATCTTTTTTTTTTTGGTACCGGGGATTGAACTGGGGTCCTTGCACTTGCGGAGCAAGCGGCAAAACCACTGAGCTAAATCCCCGGGCCTCTTTTTTTTTTTTTAATTTTATTTTCTTGGTACATTTTAAGTATGCAATATAATGACATTCATCATTGGAAATTTGCACCTTTATGTAATCTCTCTCGGTTCTTATATTTTTTCCCCCTTCCCCTGCCTTCCCTTCAACCCCTCCATCCCTCTGTTTACAAAGACTTTGTTTCCATTTTTTCATTTTCTCATATTAATTCCATTCCCTTCTTTCCTTTCCCCTTCCCCTCCCTCTTCTCCTTCCCCTTTGCCCCCTTTCTTCCTATTTCCCATTATCTATTA